TATTTAGGCTATTACATAACCAGCCTTATTTACGATGCATGCTGGGAATCGTGAGGTTTTTACAGTTTAAGTCAGAGCACACACAGAGAGAGAGAGAGAGAGGAGAGAGAGAAGAGAGGAGGAGAAACAGGGGTTTTGGGGTGATGAAGAGGGAAGAGGAGAGAGGAGAGGAGAACAGAGGAAAGCAGAGGAGAGGAAAGGATAGGAAAAGAGAGGAGGGATGGCAAGGAAAGGAAAGAAAAGAGGAGAGGGAAAAATAAGAGAAAAGAGGAGAACAGGGGAGTCGAAAAAAGGAGAGAAAGAAAGGGAAGGAAAGGAGAAAAGAAGGGAGAGGAAAGAAAAAGAAAGGAAAGAGGAAAGGAGAGGAGAGCAAAGGTGAAAAGAGTAGAAAGGATTGAGGACAAGATTAGAGGAGAGGAGAGGGACAAATAATAGAAAAGAGGAGAGCAGGGGAGTTGGAAAGGACAAAAGGAGAGAAAGGAAGGAAAGAAAAAGAGGAGAGGAGAAGAATAAGTGGGACATTACATGGAATAAACAACCACACGTCAACGATAACCGGTTCCAGGAAAGAAGACAGAACTCAAAGGTCAAAGGAGACTCATGAGCGTGCCTTTCTTTTCCTCTCCTCCTTCTTCATCCTCTACGATGAAAGAGATAATCTGCTCTTCCTTATACCTCAACCCTTTTATAATCCCATACATGTGCACCAACTCCAACCACTGAGGCAGGAACACTTTAAAAGGAAATGTCAACAATAGATGAATGTCCTGGGAAACCCACAAACAGAGTTTCTGAAGGTTTCAATAGGTTAAATTTACATTTTAAAGACATTATAAATGCAATTTAACACCTAATTCACATCCATACTGGCAAAAAAAGTACCAGGATATGAAGTAAAATCGGTATTGGCTCCATCGTTGTTTAGTTTTGTAGTTGTAACAGCATGATCAGTACAGCTTTTTCCCAGAAACACAACTAAAAGTGAGACTTAATCCAACTTAGAACATTAACTTAATGAATCCAATACATTTTTAAGACTTCAAAATCACGTTTAAGACACATTAAGGCCTAAAATTCAGATTATTGGATCAAAGACTTTTTAAGACCATCCTGCACACACAACCACATCTAGAAAGAAATACTCTGAGGATTTAGACCAATTATGTCAATTTAAGTAGAATTTAAGTGACTTTAATAGACTTATTGTTTCACCACATGATGGTTTGTCTGCAAATACATGCAATAGGTCAATAAGACCTTGAGATTGATCGTTACTCAACACGTTTGCCCACACATCCTGGATATTTTCAACAGATAACACTGAAATAACAGAAATAAACTGGTCTTTATCATATAAAATCCAAACAATCGTAGACTGTAGTCAGAGAACTGATTTAAAAAAAAGAAAAAGGAACAAGCTAAACATAGATCCAAGAGCCAAAGTCCAAAATCCAAAGCATGGAGATCCTCATCCTCAGCTCCGAGGATGTCAAGTTGCCCGATCGTCCATAGCAACATGCAACATCAAATAAATCTTCCTGATTGGTATTTAAATAATGCCTGTGGAAACAGCCCCAAGTAAAATGGCTCTGAGAAGGAAGAGAGGAGGCTTTTCTGGCAGCGTGGTCAACTGGAATGAGGTTAAGAACAAACTATTTTGTAGATAAAGGTGATGTGAGTTTACCCTACTAGGACATCCCTGCTACTCACACGGTATAAAAGGCTGTAAGACAAGAGTACTGTACCAAAGCTACAGTGACAGGTCATAAAATATGGAAACAGCAGTGTATAGAAGGACATGTCATATTAAATAAAGCAGAAATATGGGCATCGAGCTGGTGTTTTTAAAGCTAATGTGGGTGTGTAGGCAGCAGATAAACGCACACACACGAATGCACACACCCATATTCTTACATTAAGTTAAAAAAAAAGTAAGAACTCACAGCCTACCAGAGCGTTTCATCTCCAAAAAGTAAAATTGATGATAAGTCCAACTTAAATGTCAAGGCGACATTTCAGCTCAGTTTGGAGGGTGAAGGTGGGCTGCTGCTCGAGCTGCGTGTGTCCTTCTGTGTGTGTGTGTGTGTGTGTGTGTATTCCTCATGTTGTGGGGACATAAACATGTTAAATCAGCCACATTTAAAATAGTCCCTGTACGGTTAAGCATTTATCTCATGGTTAGGAGTTGGTTTAAGTCAGACTCGGGCTCGTGGGTTGGGTTTAGTGGGTGAACAGCAGCGGTTAAAGATAAACAGGAATCATTAGAAGTCAATGCAAGGTCCTCACAAGTGGCCAAAAACACAACTGTGTGCTCCTGCTGAATGAGGAAAACGAGGCGACGGCCAGGACCCTACTTTTCCCTTTATTTCTCCTAAGCATTCACGTGTGGGAGCGCGCGTGAGGCAGGCAGCAGAGGGCTGTGTCACCATCACTAAAGTGACGGCACTAGACTGGCGGTGATGCGGGCCCCGGTAAGGGGGCCAAAGTCATCAATCACGCGGATCGAAACCGCAACGTTAAATCAATACCGGCCCCCGGGAGCGATGACAGCGGAGCGTGAATACGCCTCGGTAAAAGCCTGCGGTCCCTTTGGCCCATCCATCAACAAGTCCGCACAGTGTACAGTCCAAACCCCAAAACGCCGCTCCGCTCCACGCGAGACCAAAACACGCAGTACAGGACAGGAGCCACGCGCGCAGTAGTGGCATGTACCTGGTTGCTTGGCTGGACGGGACAACACCTGTAACTGTGACACACGAACCCGGACCGCGGTGCAAACCGGGTGAACTTGAGGGGAAGGGGGGACGCCAGTGTACAGCACGAGGAAGAGTTGCTGCGTAGGGGGGGGTTAGGTGAGGTAGAGGAGGTGTGGGGTATTACCGACCCCAAGACCACCTGATAAAATACTAAAACTGCACAAGACACAGAGCAACAGAGGGAGAAACCACAGCACGAGGGAAAATACGCTGCCTGTGCTGCTGATGAGAGTAATGATGACAACGATGGAGATGATGATGAGGAGGAGGATGACAGAGAAGAAGATCCTCCGAGACTGTCTCGAGAACACATCTGTTGAGGATCACATCTGGCCGACACGCTGACTAAACCCCCCCCCCAATAAACACACACACACATATAAACACACACACACCTACTGATAGTGTATTCTGTCCGGTCACATGCGCGTGGCCCCCCGGCCTCTCTAAGCTGTGATGGAGCCCATGCAGTGCGTAATGTGCAGGGTTTTTTTTTTTTTACTCACCCCGGGTGCTGTCGCCGCCAGTCTCCGTCCGCTCGCGTGTCCTACCGTGTGATTTAACGGGAGAGAGGGCGAGCCGTGGGCGCACTCAGCCCCCACCAGCGCCATCCAGCGCTGCGGTCGCGGCACGCCGCTCTCGCGATACCGTGCCATCTTCCAGCTCTCCGGTTGAGCGTGTGACGTAGCGGTTTTATATCAGGTTTGTTTTTTGTTTTTTTTTGTAGCTCGGCCCGATGCCGCCGCCTTCTGGGCACGAGGCGAAATGAGCGTGAGGATGCTGATGATGTCATGCCGTAGCTGACCGTGTGGCCTGTTACCTGTTTTTGTCTCGTGCTCCCTGCCCCTCTGTCCTTTACGCGCACACCTCCGCTGCCGCGCGCATCCCGCTGTCGGCTACATGCAGAGGACATCTGTTTAATTGGTGCCATTGGAGACCCGCCAGCGCCAGTTTACAGTCACAGCCTGAACACACTATTCATAGAGCAGGCGAGGGAGGTCGTGGGGACAGTGTTTAGCTTGGCAGTGAGTTTTTAATACCGTTATGACTGAGAGAAATGTGGCATTAGGAATTAAAAGTGCTGAAAAGGAACACAAGAGAGCAGCACGAAGGCGTCTTACAGCAGTGGTTCCACATTTTAGGAAACACCCCTGTCCGGTTTCTTGGCAAGAGTTGGGTGAGAAAATTTGCAACAAGATGTTAGGGCTTAGTTTAGGGAAGGTGGGGAAACAGTCGGTGTCAAGTTGTTTTTTTTTTTAGTTTTTATATCAGCATTATATATCAGCTTTGCTCTCTAAATATCGGCATCAGCCAGTGAAGACCGCCTATCGGTCGACCACTAATTGGTATCACTTACAGGTCTGTAAATAGGAGGCTGCAGCCAGCAGTCTGTCAGCTTAGCACAAAGACTGGAAACGGGGGAAACCCATATTCACATCCAAGAAATAGCCTGGAAAATATCCTCTTTAACAACTTTTTGCACAGATGAAACGATCAAGAAATAAATTATCTTTCTTGCAGAGAGCTATTTAAGAATATGTACAATAAGCCAAATGCATTAAAACCTAAGATAACAAAATTCTGGAGCAGTAACTTCCTGGAGTCTCTGCTGGTTGCCTGGCAACTGCTCCCAGCCAAAAAAAATCCCTTATAACAGCAAATTGTGCCAATTAAACAGTTTGGACAAAGTCTTACAGGTGCTTGTTGTTGGATTTTGTTACACAGGCTTCCCCGTTTCCAAGCTAAGCTAATGAGGCACTAGCTGTAGCTTATTAAAAGTCTATTTAGTGTACAAACAACAAGTAGGCTATCAATCTTCTCATCTAGCTCTCGACAAATATCAAACTATCCCATTAATAATAATAGAAAAAGACTATTAATTGAGTGCTCACATAGGCTGCATATTCTCACTTTATAATAATATTTTTTTATTGTCTTTTAGCTTTTATTAGATAGTACGACATAGTAAAGAGACAGGAAATAAGAGGAGCTGATGACGCAATATTTCAATAAAGGGCCCCCCGACTGAAATTGCAACACAACAATAATAATCACTTAAATATAAGGTGATTATACACTAGTGAAGACCCTATTTACTGCTTATATTCTACCGAAAACTGGTTGAAAGCTCCAAAACGAGTGTGTAAGTGTACGATTATTTTGTCAAACATCTGATTTTGTCCCTTTTAATAACAGTTCTCCTGGACAAGCACATGCAGTGTTGACATGAGAAGCAGACAGATATTCTGTAAATGGGGAACTTTATTGCATAAATACAAGAGTGCAGAGTGCTTATCTATATCTATTCACACAGGTCGCGCGTTAGCTCACAGTATGCAAAATCATAGTAAGACTCAATCATAGTTGGGGAGGAAAAAATAAGAATGCACACAGGAGAGGGGGAGAAACTTTTTAAAGTCATTTTTAAATTATTTTTGTTCATTTCGATTCCGTGTATTTAAAGTACATTTCAACATAAGTTCACAGGAGCCTCGGCAGTTCTAACAGTGTTTATGTTGTCAGTGTATGTGGTGTAAATTATGAGCTGTGCCTAATGCTCTCGTGTATACACTCATGTGAGGGTGTATGTGTGTGTGTTTATGAGTTCCAGTGCGTGTACTTTGATGTGTGTGTTTCAGGCCACCTGTACTGTAAATATACTTGTGTGTGCATGCGTGTTCACAGGTCATCTGTCTCTCCATCGAAGGGCATGGTGTCCAGGTCCATGTGGATGTGTGAGTTGTCCTCACTGCAGATCCAGCCGATGGGCGTGCGGTTGAACGAGGGGCGTGAGCGCATGTTGGCCTGCAGACCTGGCTCCTGCTCCTCGGTGGCAACGTTGATCTCTGGGAGTTCAAAGGTAAGCAACTTGGTTGCCTTGTCGTAGCCACCGAATGGTAGCGCTGTCCTGGGGGGAGAAAAGAGGTATTAATACGAAGCTGAGAAGAGACAAGGTAATGGGTAATGGGTATAAGAAAGATTTATTTAATTTGACTTTCATATTTGTTTGCTTAAACACTTAAAGGACCACTGTGAAGGATTAAGTGGTCTCTGGTGATGTAGTTGCAGACTGTAACCAATTCGGCTCACCCTCCCCTGCTGAGCGTGAAACATAAACTACAGTTCCAGTGAAACTCGGGACCATCCGACCTAGAGCCAGTGTTTGGTTTGTCCGTTCAGGGCTACTAGAAACAAGAAGAAAGGGGCCCCTGTGCCAGAGCCTCTGTATAAAGTGTCAGAGTCAATCAAACTACTACTACAACACAAGTACAAACTACTAAACAAAATAACCACAAGGAGATGGAAAACTAGCACAAAGAGACACAAAACAACTACAAAGAAACGCAAAATGACCAACAAGAGAGTCAAAACGACTACAAATTGATGCAAAACAACCAGAAAGAGACAAAATAACTCCTTTTACTCAGAACAAAAACCTGTGTGTATAGTTGTTGTATGTGTACATGTAACAACACAAAACAATTGTCAATTGTCCAGCTTCTCAAATGTGAGGACTTTTCTATGTTTTATATCATTGTAACTGAATATATTTGGGTCACAGGCTGGTGGTCACCTGGGGCTACGATACTTCAAAGCTACAATGTAGTGTATGAAAGTCCAAATACTACATTATTAAGGCACAATGGTTTCTGACACTTTATCGGCTGAAAGATTAAGTTTCAGACTCTACCTGTTGAAGCTCTTGTACATAGGCAGTTCTGGGTGCATGTGGATGGGTCCCGGCATGCAGGCCTTCATGGTGGCTGTCAGCTCCTCGTTGCCCTTCATGGCCCGTTCCCATGGTGATATGTAGGTGGGTACATACTCCGCCTTGCTCTTCCTCTCTGCCTCCTTATCCACTTTCTCCTCCACCACTGAGATACACAGGGACAGGGAAGAAAAATAGGGAGAGGTTAAATCTTAACACAAAGAAAGCATATTAAATACTGAAAAGGGACAGAAAATATTACCTACCTTCTTCCTTCGGCATCTCAGGCTTTGGTGGAATTGGGGGAGGGGACATGAACAGGTTATGGAGGTTCTGCTAGAAGACAAAAGAGGAAGATGTAGTCTGATCAGAACACACATACCCACACACATTCCCCTTTTCTTCTTCCGTCCTACCGCGTTCTCGTTGGTCACGATGAACTTCTCAACTCTCTGCTGCCTCATCTTGAACATCTTGGAGCCCTTGTTACTGAGCAGGGAGAGCTCCTCCAGCATCACGTCCTTGGGCGTCTTGATCTTGGTGCCCAGGTCAAACTCAGAGGCCTCTGGGTCTGACTCATCATCTGACAGGAAGAGGAATGAATAATAATAAAGTAATTGCAGGTGGGTGGATGCTTAGAAGCAGTAGAAGGGAAATTGAGAGAAGTGCAATTTGGCATAAGTACATTGTATTAAATATTTTTTTATATAGAAATGTATATTATTGTTTGATATTGCATGTGTAACAATATATTTTTTAATATAAGATAGAGTTAATATTCCTGTGTCATTTTAAAAAGTAAAGTAAAAAGTTAGGAGGGTAATCATGTGGAAAAGGGCTGGTGGGAAATTCGGACAGGCTCCAATAAATAGTTGTATTCTCTTGTTTCAGTCTATGAAAGTCTGTTTTCACTGTTTTGTTTGGTGTTTTGAAGGCTTAACAACACTAAAGTCACACAAAGTCACACAAACGAAGCAATACAGGCAGCGGTTGACCAGCAACTCCCATGTTCTGGAGGTAAAAATAAAAAAGCATAATTCCTAAAATGTGAAACTTTTGGAATTATAGAAGAATATCTGCTAATTGTTTATATTATCATTCTTAAACATTCTCATGAACTACAGAATGAAAGAAATCTGGCTCATGTATCCCATTAAGATTGATCACAATGCGGCTTTTAAGGCGTCTCTCTAAAATGTGCTCTCTCTTATCAGCTAAATCCATTTGGCAAATTAAAACGTGGCTTTACCTTCCACTACATGTCTGATATTAAAATGAAGGATGTATTCCATACTATCCTTGTTGTGATGAATTAGAGTCGAAGCCAGTTGTGCGGCATTAAAGGATGCGAGTGTGAAACCAGGGGAGTTGTAGGGGTTAGTAGGTCAAAGCAATATGAAAGAAAAGGGCACTGGGGAAATGCCACAGCAGGTTCTATGGTGGAACTGTTTATGGAGGGAAATCCTTATTACATACTGCCTCCCTCACGTTCTCCTCTTCTCTTCCAGTGATGGAGAGATCTGATGAATTTTACTGCTCCACAGAGCTCCTCATAAAACACTCTTCTCATCCACCACATACACTCAGATATCACTCATAACACCTGGAGTCCAGCCATAAACCAACACACACACATGCACGAACACATCTATAAAGCGGGGAGTTGGCATTGCAATGCTGCGGAGAGCAGTTAGCAGTACCTCATAAATCAGACTTGTGCAAGTGGGTGTGTGTTAAGTGTGTGTGTGTGTGTGTGTGTGTGTGTGTGTGTGAGAGAGAGAGAGAGAGAGAGAGAGAGAGAAAGAGAGAGAGGAATTGAGGCTGCTGAGCAGAGCGAGCTCTCCCATGGGGATATTGATTAGAGTGTTAATTCAGAAGAATGTGAAACTGGAGTTGGCTGCTGACTGGGAGGAAATTGGACAGACTGACAGAGGCAGGAGGTGGACAGACGGCCAACATGCAGACGGACAGAGGCATGGGACAAACGACAGGACGGGACAGCGGCGGGGATGATGGATGGATGAGTGGGCATTAACTGGAGGAAAATAAGGGATAAGCAGGATAAGCTCCTGAATGACTGACTGAAAACAAACTGATGGAAAGATACAGATGTGGCTGCAGATGTGATGGCAGAGGGGTAAACCAGCAAAGGACACCAACATGAGGAAAGACATCAACAGATAGTTGAATGACAGATATAAGCACAGACACTTACAGATTGTATGCTCAGAGATTGAGAGATAATACATTGGTTGGTGTTTATAAAAGTAATGCATGATGCAACAAGTAATAAATGTCAGTTTTGCTGCTGAAAGAAAACTAAACATATTAACGAAGAGTCTACAGCCATGCTAGCAGCTCTGTGAGGCGCTATTAAGGCACAGCGGTGCTTTGAGCTAAATGTCAGCATGCTGAAACTGAACTGACTGTGGCATTTTATCACAAACATTATTGCAAGTCATCCTGAGGGGGACATGAATATATCATCTACCAAATTTCTCAGCAATCCATTCAACAGTTGTTGCAACCAAAAATGTCAACCTCATGGTAGCGATGAGGAAAAGTTGGAATCACCAGAATTATTAAAGTTCATCCTCCTGGCAACTAAATGCCTGCACAAAAAATGTCATGGTAATCCATCCAGAAGAAATATTTCAGCCTCGACCAAAGTGGGGGAACACCTGACCGAGCAACAAACAGGCCGACATCGCCAATCCCAGAGCTTTGCCACCAATGCAGCTAAAAATAGTGACTTTATATTTGTTGTTTTAAACACCAAAATTTTAGACTTTTCAGTTTAGTTTCTTAATTTTTAGTATCCAGATTCTTTGTGCAGTGCTGTAATAGTAATGGAAAGTAATGTAAAATTACTTAATAACAAGTAGTCCTACATTTAAAAATCTTACTGAGGTAAAAGTACAGACATATTTACAGCATATTGTGATTAAAATATCAAATCTGAAATGACTCATTATGCAGAAAAATGCCCCCTGTGAGTGTTACGAATTATTTGATTATTATATTATAATAATATTGGATTATTTATGCATTGATGTCTAAGCAGCATTTCATTGTTGGTGCTAGTTTATGTGGAGTGTATTACAACATTTTATACCGTTTAATAGTTTAATATACAACAGTGCATTTTAGTCAATACAGTATAGCTGTTACATTAAATGTAATGGAGGAAAAAGTACATTATTCCTGTCTGAATGTAGTGTAGAAGAAGTATATATCAGAAACTTATAAGACGAAAGTCAGGTACAAGTACAAGTACTACTAAAATTGTACTGAAGTATGGTACAGTTATTTTACAGCACTGACTACACTTTATATGTCTGTGCTATCTCATTTAATGGAAATAATCAAGATGTCTTGTGCATCATCATATACACATTTCACCAAAATGCAGCCTGACATGTGAAGTATTATAGGAAACTTTAGGATCTCCACTAGAAGAACTACAAGAATTTAAACAGATAGTGAACATACAATTGTGAAATGCATTAAACACATTTCTGGTGCTTCTTTTCCTACAGTACATGAAATATCTGATGTGGGCGCCTGGTTAGCTCAGTCGGTAGAACTGTCGACCCATGTACGGAGTTGCTGCAGCGGCCCTGGTTCGAATCAGACCTCTGGCCCTTTGCTGCGTGTCATCCCCTCTCTCTCTACCCACCTTTCCTTGTCTATCTACAGCTGTCACTGTCCAATAAAGCCAATTAAAGGACAAAAAAAATAAATATCTGGTGCACATGAAGTGATTTTTGGAAGAAAACATTGGTGCTTCTGTAGCTGCACAAAGCAAAGAGCACCACAGTTACCATATAAACAAAGTGTAGCATAAATACATCACATCAATCACTACTCGACTCCTTATATGTTAAGATGTTGCTCAAATAACAAACAAATACATTTATCATTTGTGGATTTAAAGCCAAGATATTAAAAGTATTTGTCACTTTCTTACAAGCTGCATTGATTCCAGTTCTGTCGGCGCTCATTCACAGCCTCAGACAGATATAGTGGGAGCTGAATCACCGTCTGGTATTTTGAGTTGCCTCTAATGGTGACAGATTTGTGGCTGCTCTGCCATCTGATAATGACCCACACATCCCTGCAGGAAATGCCACATGCATGTTAGATATTGTGTTACTGCTTGGAACTACTGTGTGTGTGTATGTGTCTGTGTTCTTTCTCTCTTCATTTAATTGTAGTATTAGAAGACCACATGCAACGATTTACACCCACGCAGTTCAATTTACACACACAGACAGATAGCAGACACCACAGAGCAAAACCTACAAATGGATTTGACATTTACTGGGCTGGATAATCAGATCACACGGGAGATAGAGGAAGGTCTTTGAGGAATGAGGATGAAGATGGGCAGCAAAATGTTTCATGCCGTGTGTGAATATATGGTGGGTATGCTGTTTGTGTATGTGTGTGTGTGTGTGTGTGTGTGTGTGAGTGTGTGTGTTTTACCATCCTGGGTGATGTTGGACAGGTCAGTGATGATCTTGTTGGACTTCCTCTTGTTGGAGGGGGCAGGAGTTTTGAGAGGCATGGCTAAATGACAGGACAGAGAAGTTATGACTTACTAATCAGCAGCAGCAGAAGTTCTATTTACCAAAGAACTGTAGCTACACAGCAAAAAATATATATAACCATACAGCCCAAAAAGAGACATGGTCAGGGTCCACTAACTAGCCTTTTCTGGATCTTTCAACTGCATCTGTCTCTCTTCATCAGCAGATGGAGTTTGCTACTGATAAAGTCAAGAATTTCTATTAAACTACTACTTGCATGGTCAAAAATGAACTTTCAGCCTCATAAATGTGGTAAAAAAACAGAACAGAAATAGAAAAGTTTCAATAAAAGTTTAGATTTATTTTAAATCTAAATCTTCCCTAATCAATATGTTTCTGTTAACATTTGATTGAATTACTGCGTAAAGGTTTCACAAACCCTCAGAGACTTATCACGCGACTCTGCATTTTCCCTCAGCTTTACAGAGCTTTTTAGCATCTTTCAGCTCATTGTTTTGGTTTTAAAGCTGCAGTGTTACTGTTTCAGCAAAAAAATCTCCAATGAACCCACACTACGGAAGCGTATTGCATTCACTTGAAAATGTATTTTTGGTTTGTTTTTCAGAGTAATTTTTTTTTTCTGTTTTTCAGAGTAATTTATTTTTATGGTTGTAATTTTTTTCTGAGTTTAGAGAGCATTTGAAATGCATTCATTCCTTTATTGAGAGCTCGATTTAACGGAAACAAACATGACCAGCTTGTTTTGTTCAATCAAGTTATACTTTGATCTGGGTTTCAGACACTGGGAGATTGTCCTGTCTTTAAGTCATATAGATAGTATTCAGATATGCCAGACATAGCAATATATACATAGCAAAATTGACCCGGTACGGTAGATAGTTGAAGATCGGGCATGTATGTGCAGGAAGGAGTCACCATAGGTCCATGGGAGTCACTTGCAGGTTGGAGGTTCTCTCGGGAGTTTGAAGTATCACGATAATTCAGAAAAAAAATTACTCCGAAAAAAACTGAAAAGATTTGTCAAAAAAACAAACCAAAAAATAAATTACTTTTCTTTTTTTTTTCAAGTGAATTCAATACGCTTCCGTAGTACACTACCTGCCCAGCACTAAACAGCAGATACACAAAGTTAGCGACTAGCTTTAACAGCAGTGGAGCATTTAGCAGTTGAAGAGTCAGATGTTTCCCTCATGAGTTGGTGGAGACCAAAAACTGCCCTGAAAGGACAGTGAATATCCACAATCGTCAGGTGACTAGTGACATTACTCTGTATGAATGTTTTTTTTTATAAATGCTGGAGGTGTAAATAGGCAACTGTTTGCTAACACAATAATATTTAAAAGTAGGGTACGTCATTCTAATTGATGCAATTCTAATCCAGTACACATTTTAATACACAAATTCTGTGAATATCACCTCACAGTCCACTAGCTGTCTGCTCTGAGTGTGTGCTGAAAAATAATGTAAAAATAATGGTGTTTACATACAGCCTGATTATGTAAATAGGAAACAAAGTGTATTGGACCAAGCCACATAACACTATTTCAGGCAGGATTTGTGTGCAAGATAACAATAAATAACTTGCCCACGGACATTCAGCTAATTTTCTTTGCCAAGATATGCTGGTGTTGTGATGTTAGCTGTAGTAGCAGGAGAGTTTCGCTGTCTGGAGCTGGTGTGCTGGCTCTGGAAAACCATCTCATCCTCTCTGCATGTTAGATTGCAAACCCACAACATGGCTAACGTTCGTCACATTACCTGCTGTGCTGTTGTTCGCACTATGTCATGGTCCATTATGACCAGAATCGGTACCCTTAACCACGTATATTGTAACCATGAGAACGTGGGTCCCCTCACCTTAACGAAACAGCCATTTTAACCCATCCAGGAGGTTTCCTTAAACATAACCAAGTCGTTTTTTTGCCTAAGCTAAACCAAACCTTAACTGGAGCATTGTAACACCACAGAACAGATTTATTTCAAAACAGTAATTTGTGGTGATTTGGATTTTGAAGGCAGAAACCGATTATATCATCCAGCCAATAGTTGTAAGGAGTTTTTGGTTTACAGCTTGTTGCACTGCCCCCAAGTGGCCAAAAAATCAATGAATGCAGGGTCAAAAACTGAGCAGACAAGTAATGACAGACTATAGTTAATCTCCCTTTAGCCTTTGCTTACCCATGCTGTACTGTTTTAGAGCTCCTCGACCCTGGTCCTGGGGACCTACTGTCATGCATTTTTTAGATGTTTCCCTCTGCTGACACACCTGATTCAAATTATGAATCAGCTCGACATCAAGCTCTGCAGAAGCCTGATAACGACCCAATCATAAAAAACAAAATACACCAGCCAGTCACAGTTTTAGTGTGTTAAATGGGGACATAAAATGGTGTCAGATAAGCTCAGCTTATAACTCTCATTCATTCATTAATTGTATTTTTAATGTTCTATAAAGTACTTTGTTTAATGTCTGTTTTTTAAATATGCGCTATAAATAAACTGACCTGACTTGACTTTTCAACTTTAAGAAAGACTTAAACAATCATTAAGAATTATTGCCCAAATGCTACTTGGTCTCTTAGGGGTCTTGCAGAGAGCATGACAGATATAGCAACAAGACACTGACAGGCAGTGAAATATGATACAACAAAAGTGTCAAACTTTTCCATAAATATTTCACAAGAGAGTCTAAATTGATTTCCAAGATATATTTGTGTATGATAAAGTTACACGTCACGTCCTAAATTCTAGCAAGCTCCAGCAGAACCTCGCTGGGTTCCCTAATTAAGTTAAGCACACTTAAAACATCATGTATAGCCCCCGGTATCCCCTTGAGGACCCTAATTCTCAGTGGCAGCTCGTGTCTCTCTCGACTAACCACTCAGATGGGGGCCAGCAGTATGTCGCTGTATATTGCACAGGTCGAAAGCAATTATGTAAGGCTGGAGGTGAGTCCCAGTACAAGAGAAAAAGCTGGAGGACCCGTCTACAGGGAGACAGTTAATGTAATTGCTTTTCATCCGCTGTAATTGAAGCTCATTTCCTAGCCTGGGATTCAGCCCTGTGCAAGCTATTTTTATGAACACATGTTCTATATACTGTGGTGAGTGGGACTGTCATCAACACAAGACATACATACAAGTGCACCAGCACACACATACACACACACACACACACTCACGGATTTGCACTCAAATAGCTTCTCTCTTGTGATTAATGTGAGTCACTGGCTGTGGATTAAAAACTGGAGATTACAGGTGTTTTTGGATGTTCTGGGGATTGCAAGATGGAGGCTGAGCTGATGGCAGCTACAGGAGCAGCAAGGGCCTGGGTCCTGTTACCACCTCCCTGAGTGAAGAGGCGCTCCTGTCCCCCATGAGCAGCCTGTTTTAGCTCCAGATAAATCTCGAGGGGACAGCTGGGGAGGAAGGGCATCAGTAAGCACATTCCCAAACACATACATCCATACCCACGGACTAAAAACTCCACTGCAGAGGGCCACATTCCTCACCTACCACAGTGTTAGGTAAGAGCTGGTGGAAGAGCAGGAAAGTCATCCACCAGCTGGCTCTCGAGATTCAGATTTGGTTTAATTGATATATTAACTTGACTGAAGAAATTGTAAATCTGGAATGTAACAGTCAAACTATGTATGAGGGGATGCCTTTCTTGAACAAGTACTGTTACTTTTAACAAAACATGTAGGCAATTCTATAATATGAAGTTGACCATCTGTTTCTGATCCCCTCATTAATTCATTAATCCAGTTACAGAAGCCTCAACAGGTCACAGATAGGGGATTCCCCCACTGTAAAAATCTGCTGACCATAAGAATCAAATTAATTTCCCTGTAACCGTCTCCTTGCACTAAAAGCGGATCCAGAATTATTTCACAACTCATTGACCATCGGCACCAGATAATCCACAAACACTCAAGGCATGCGTGAGTGAGATGTCTTTGATTTTTATCAATGTCGTCACACATTTTCTCTGAAGTCTTACCTAAGACCCAGATATCCACAGGAAGACACAGGTCCCAGAAGGTCCCAGAAAATGTGGCTCTAAGGAAGAGGAATATAGATTCCCAGGTAGATTTGTGTCCCTGAGCTTGTATTGTACTGCCTGCCCTCCTCTTCGCCCCGGAGAGAGTGAAACCCTATCAGCAGGGCTGCTCCAGTGCTATGGACCTGGCCTGGGGGGTTAGAGGGGGGGTGGGGTAAAATGAATAAGGGGTAAATAAGGAGGTGGGTGTGGTGTTTTGAGTTCAGAGGTTGGTAAGATGAGTAATAATTATAATTTTTTTTATCTATCCAAAGATTCATCTAAAAAGTTAAAGAAGACAACCAGTTTAAAATATGTACAATAGTTATGTCACATTTACTTTTTTAGGATAGTTGGGGATATTTTTGGGATATTTGGAAATAAAGAAATATTTGATGTGCATTCAAGATTTTTAATTCATTACATACATGTAGAACTACTGTAAAATGTCTTATGGAGGTGTGAAACATGATAGTAATCAGTAAAATTCGCCTCATAAGACTTCCACTTTTAAGAAAATTTTGGCATACACTGCTTGAGGTGGCAATAGATAAAGAAACATGAGAAGAAATGTTGCTATTGCCTTCCTGAATACCAAAATCACTCAAAAAGTGTCCTGGTTCCACAAAGTAATAGTTCAGTTTCTCTTAATATTGGCTAGAAAGGTTATAATAACAAAGTGAGTTGGGTGTGATTATCCTGCCGTTCAACTGTGTCACTTTAGAGGAGTTAAGTTTTTAGTGGGAGAACTCTTATAAGAACATGGGAGAGACCACTCTAGGAATTAAGTGCAGTTTAACTGAACTGAGAGATTGTTTTCGTAAATCCACCAAAATGTTACTCATTGGGTCTTTAAATAGAGGCTGATCTCATGTGGGAAGTTGTTAGAAAGTCTTGGCGTCCTGCTTGCAAAGATCATGTCTGGTCTTCAGCCTCGACATTGGAACAACCAGGAGAGTTGTGTATTGACATCAAAATGAGGATACCAAATATTAAGATCCTGAAAGCGGATGATGGCGATTACTTGACAAGAATAAGCCTGGTGGTTTTAGAGAATTCCTCCAGCTTGTGAGCTTGAATAATTTGCCCCATCCCTCTCAATCACAGGGGAACAGGGGCTTTTAATAACATGCCAAACAACACAAGAGAATAGGAAGTATCTTTCCAGCAGTTACTGTATTCCCCTGTTACTCAGTTTTAGGTGCTTAAGGCCATTTATGCTTTTGTTGATGTGTTTTCTTCCCCCTCTAATAGTCCTTATACTCTTTTAACTATACCTTTGGGTATGATTTGCAACTTTGTGCCTTGTTTGTGCCTGACAGCAGTTACACCTGAATCAGCATGTCAGTCCTCTGCTATTTATATTCAACTTACAGCTTTTGTAAGTCACTGTGTTTGTTTGTTTGTTTGTTTGCAATTGTGGAAAAAAGCTGTAAGGATTTTAGATTTCTCTGTACTGTGTCACTTTTGCTTGCAGTTTTGCTTGCTAACATTTTTTATTTAGCACAAGTACAGTACAGTCTAAATGGAATCTCAGTAGTGTTGCAGGTATTTGATCTGGTTTGGATATTGGTGAAAAGGTAAGGCGGGGGGTGTACAGTATTTTATGACTATCCATCCAAAACCACAACCTCAAAGTCAGGGGATCACCAAAGAGATCAGGATTTATTATCTAGGAACCATGAATATGTGTACACTTTCTTACTAATACATAAAATAGATGTTGAGATACCTTACAGGATAAGTGAAAACTGCACTGCCGGTGGAGCTGGATAAAAAGCCAAAGGTTCATCAAAATCAGTAGGATTCATTCTTTGGGGATCCTTAATATCTGTGCAAAATTTTATGGCAATCCTTTAAATAGTTGTTCATATATTTTCAGTCTGGATAAAAGTGGTGACATTGTCTAGAACCATGCCATTAGCAGGGATACAAACCCATATAGTGGTAGTCCTGAAAATAGAGGGGCCAGGTGGCCTTGAAAAGGTTGTGTATGTGGCTGGGTTATAAATCCATCAGGCAATCTAACTCACAGTTCAAAGGTTTATTACCTATCTGGTTATTACAAATTACTTTCAATACTTTTTTCAGCCAATCACTTATAATGAATTAGAAAACAGAAATGCATTTTTCCAAAATAACCCTCAAATGATTAATCTACACGAGAGTGTGAATGACCATTAATTGTCCATTATCTGACCTCCCGCTAAACCCTGACCCTTGACCCCAAACACTCGATTCTGTTGACTCAGAAACATAGTGTGAGGAAAGAGACTCTTTGGCAGAGCAGCAGGAGGAGACAGGATGTACGAGGTAGCTCTTCCCCTCCACTCTCAATCACGTAAAAAAGCCATCAGAATTAAGAGTTTAGCACCAGGCCAAATAGCTAGAGATTAACGGCTCCAAAAATAGGTGAAATGGGCTGTGTGTGTTTTTGTGTGTGTGTGTGTGTGTGTGTGTGTGTGTGTGTGTGTGTGCAAACTAAGTGAGAAAGGTATTAACAGAAAATAAGAGAGAGAGACCGAAAGAGGGAGAATTGTAGAACTAATTTGGTAATTTGGCCAAGAGTTAAAAGATGCACTTCAGTCATTACTGTAAGTGCAGTTACAGCTTTTAATATATTTCTAAAATCCAGTGACCTAGTTTGTAGAAAATTGAATATGCTGCACACTGCAGGGATTTTTGTGCGTTGTACCTTCCACTAGCACATCAGCTAAGCTTACCAGTGGACCTGAACAGGACTAAAGTTAACAGCTAAAGTTAGCCCCGTCTGTCACCTGATACCAGTCAAGGGTCATAGGTTAGATCCCTTTCTGTGGCCATGGTTGGGTTTCACAGCTCCAAGTCCATCAGCTGGCTCGTATGAAACTGCTCTGAAATGGAGGCTAACAATCCTACAGAGGCATTTTTCAACTGCAATGATCAGATACTGAATCTGAAACAGAGGAATTAGAAAAGGGAAGCATGTATTTAATGATTTTGATTTAATGATAATGATTTTTATCTTTTCTCATTCATTCATTCATTCATTACTAAATATTGGTTAACAGTTAGGATCTATGAAATGAATCTAGGGTATGAAATGGAAACCTTATTGTTTTTCCCTGGTATGTTAAATGTTATACTCACGTTCAAGCTGTGTGAAATCTGTGATGCCACAAAGAGACCATTAACTGGTGGTGCAACATGTCTGGATGACCAATCCTCCAGTGCCACCGTGTGGTGAACATTTAAAAATATATATTTTCTTGATGCCTAAACTATTGCTTTTGAAGATTGTGTATTTGATCTCAAAACTGCCCAAATCCTAAGAGAACAATTAGACGAGTCAGTAAATGCTTGAAAAAGAGAAAAGGGTGAAAACTAATGGGAGGTGGAGATACTGGGGCCCTATGTGGGAGTGAGTGGTGACGTTTGTGGGTGGCACAGGAAGAAACAGAGTGACAGCTGATGTGAGTCATGTCTATTTTTATTCAGTCTCTCAGTCTCTGTGGAGAAGAATCACAGCTAAACAGACACGTTATACCTCTCCTGTTTCATATCAACAGTTCAGAAGTCTACTGTAAAAGGCTTCCCTTCTTCGTAGCAGCTGTGCTCCTCGCCCTATGAAAAACTACAGAAAACAAAGCACACACCGCTGCAGCAGAGTGCAACTAAAAAACACACTCCGTCTAATCAAACACCAAAACTTAGAATATACTGTATATAACAGAGGGGGAATTACAGTAGTAGTAGCTACTTCAAATTTGTTGGTAAGCAACTTTTCTAATATGACATTACTGGATGGTGACAGGTTCTGTAGGGTGTTTACAGATTCAAGTCAAATCTGCACCTTTCACACCTCATCAGACATTATTTCTATCATGTCACTTCATCGGTGCCTCCTGTGCTTTCCCATTCATCTTTTTCCCATCCTCGACCACATCTCTCTCACAACAGTCTTGTCTTTTCACATCCTCTATTCTTCTTTTTTTATGTTTAGACGTAATTCTTCGTCATTCAATATAATATTTACATAACTTTATTTAAGTTTTCCTCAGCATCTTTTTTCTTTCCTTTCAATCTGCCGTTGATTTCCATTTATTAAACTTTTCCACACAACATTTCCTTTGCAAAAAAGTGTTCCCTTTAACTAAAACCAAATGCATTGGATAAATGAGTCAACAAGATTAAATGGAAGTGATAAAATGTGCTACATGGGTGCCCAATCCAAACAGATCTTGTGATAAAATGTGGCTGATAAAACTGCTGCAGCCATGAATAACAATATTACAATACTAAAAACACATGGACTTGTTTAGAAAATGTTGCAATAGCTCTATGTTCCCATAGATTATGTCCAGACCAAAGTCTTTTCAGTGCGTAGTGGATCCAGGGCGCCAGACGCCAGGCTGCAGACCCAGGTTGGAAGTGCTGAACCTGGGCCTGGGGACCCTGGTAAGTTGACTGGTGCTGGACGCCGGCCGAGAGGCCCCAGCAGGGCCTAGGGGACTCAGATCTGGGGCACTCTTAAACTGCCTGTTGGCCTGAGCACTGTTGGAGGGCTGAAGTTGGGAGAAAGCTGGGGACTGGACTAGGTTTGGAGTAGGAGCATAAGAGAAGGTGGGGAGCTGAGGGAGTGGAGCGGTAGGGGCAGGGGGAGGTGGGGGAGACAGAGGGGAGGTGGCCCACTGGGGTTGGTAAGGTTGGGGTTGAGGCTGATAGGGTTGGTAGGGGGTGGGATGAACTGTGGGTGGAGGAGATACAACATCAGAGCGCCACAATGGTTCTCCGAGTGTCGTAGCTGATCGAGGTACAATCACTTTGAGGGCGGGCCCTGTGGCTATCGGCGGGGGGGTGGAGAAGCGCTTTACCTCATATACTCGTGCTGTTTTCTGAGGACCACTTGGCATTCCTTGCTGCTGATAGGTGGAGGTGTCCTGGGGAACCCCGCCCCCATAGCTGAACAGAGAAGAGTTGAGCTGGTAGGGCTGGTGGCTCATAATGTCCACAGGCTTGATGCCTGCTTTCTGCCCTTTAGCTCGAGCTGGCCCAGACTTTGTCACCTCAGGCTTCTTCTGGGCCTTCAGAGGGCAGGAGGGAGAGAGAAGGGGGTTGTAGCTGATGGGAGGAGGAGCACGGATGCTGGACGAGTATTTCCAGGTGGCGGGGAGAGAAGGTGTGGGTGAGGGCTCCCTCGTCTGGGCGGGAGAGTAAGGTGCTGCAGCAACAGAGGGAGCTCGCTCCACAACGTACCGATCCATTCTGTTCTGCCTGCGGGCAAACAGCTCACCTCCTTTCCCTTCCAGCTGGGGCACCTGAGGGGTTTGTGGTTTTGGAGCTACAGGAGGTGGCCTGGGTCCCCGCTGAGCCTGCAAGAAGTTGCAGGCCTCTGCCCCCAGCCTCAGCCAGTCCTCCTCCGGCCCTGACTCATGTCCGGTCTCCGCACTGGGTGCAGCTCCAGGTTCAGCACCTGGGGTTCTTTCAAAGTGGTCATCCATGTTCTGGACCATCGACATCAAGTCCGGGTTTGGAGAAATATCTTTGTTCTGGACCGCACAGAACATTGGCTTCTTGTTGGCACGACGACGGGCATCGTGCAGGATGCCAGTGCGAGCGGCAGGGACCGCGATGCGCTGCTCACGTGTCGCCAGTGAATCGGCAGCAGTAGGCTGGGGAGGTGATGCAGTTGCCATGACAGCATGGGGGCCGGGAGTCACTGCACCTGTCATGTTGATGTAGGGATGGACAGATGGAGATGGAGAAGGTTGGGTGGGAGGAGGAGGAAGAGGGGTAGGCTGGGCATGGAAGGAGACCTGTGCCAGATGTGGTGGGGAGATGGGAGAAGAAGAAATGCCAGTGGAGGGAGGTGGATAAGAAGTAGCAGTATGAGAGGAAAATGGCTGCGGAGCTGGAGGGGAGAAGGGTTGAGCAGGTGATGGACAGACCAGGGTACTTTGAGCTGCAGTAGGAGAGAACGGGGTGGAGGGGGAAGCATACACTGCGGGCTGAGGGGAAAATGTTGGTGGATTTTTGGCTGGCTGGGAGAAAGGTGCAGAAGACAGATGGGAGGGATGAGCAAGCACTGAGGGGGGAGAGTTAACAGAGGGGGGAGTGTTGCTGTTGTTATTTCTTGGAGGGATGTACAGAGAGGTGCTAGACACCGCTCTTCTTGCATCTGGCCCTGATAGATGCCGAGTAGGTTGGATAGTCACCATGGAGACGGCCGCCACAGGTTTGGTCGCCATGGTCACGGCTGTGGGTTTGGGTTGGGGAGGGCGAAACATCACAGAAGTTACAGATGCACGAGAAGAGGTAGGGCCCGGGGTGAAGGGCCGTGCAGTACGGTTCAGAACACCTTGATTAGGACTGAGGTTGGCGTTCAGGTGATGATCTGAGTCTGTGATTGGACTAGGACTGAGATTAGGGTTAGGACTAGGATTAGGGTTGCCATGTTGCCCATTTTGACTTGGAAGAGGCATCTGAGAGGGTGGGCTCAGAACAACGCTAGCCCGACTAACAGCTACTGACCCCCCATTGGTCAGAGCCACAGCTGGAGGAGACATGGGTGCAGGATGGTTACGAACTGGCTGCTTCGTGATGCTGCTCTCCAGCCTTGAGCCCTGATAGGCTAAGCTCTCCAGCCCTGAAACCTCCAACCCTGGGCTTTGATTGACAGAGGTCAAAAGTTCTGGAGTCTGATAGGCTGAGATGTCCAGCCCAGAGTTGTGATTGTTTGTTGCCGTGGTTGGAGTAGTTGGCGTGGTTGACGGGCAGGCAGAGCTTCTCCTGTCCAACACGTCTAGATAACCAGTATCCCACGTAGGGTCAAACGATGCTGAGAATCCCTCTTCATCAACTTCTGAGCCACTTAGGGCAGAACTTCCTCCTTCCTCTTCTGTCTCCCCTCCTGTCTCTCCTTCTGTATCCCCTCCTCTATCGCCCTCAGCTTTGCCGAAGCAGGTCAGTGTGTACTTCTTGGCCCTCTGTCGGCGTTTCTTGAACATAAGCACCCCTTTTGAGTTGGGGTTGGGAGCATCAGTCAGCAAAGAGGCAATAGAGCGGCATTTAGTGCGAGCTTCTTTCACCTGTTTCTCCACCACACTCTCCCCACGCTGCAACTCTGCAAGACAGGAAGAGGACAGAGAGAGAGAGCCAAAAATAAATGTGCTGAAAGAGAGAGGAAACAAAGGAGAGAACCGGTAGTGGGATTTCTGATGAATACATAACAAGACAGGTGACAAATAGTGGAAACAACAGCGTGATAGGACTCACTGACTGTGAGCAGAGGCTGATTTATACAGTATTATCACAGTGAGTAGCTGCCATGAGGATTATGAGTGACAGACAGGAGTGTGTGTTGTGGATTTAGAACAAAGAATTCCTGCTGCTCTCCAGAGTTGGGTCACACACTCCGGGAAGGTTAGATCAGAGTCTACACAAATGCTTGTTTGTGCCAGTGTATCTGTGCGTGCATGTGTGCATCTCTGCTTAGTCCAAGGCTATTTGAGTCTTTTTAGTATCTTGGCTCATCTCACATGAACATCCTCACAACATAACTGTAGTCTGATGTCGCCTCTGTGTGCACATATTCTTATTCTATATGGTATATAGATGGGTATAATGCACATTATATTATGTATTCATATAGTCAAGCTTACCAAGACATAACAAACACACACAATCCCAAAATCAAACATGATATTTCAGTTGCATTCTGTAGCATGCCACCCTTCACAAGATACAATAACAAGTCTTAACGGCGAACCAAGGTCTATCCATGCAAGTGGCTCAGTTAGACTATGCAGAGTGGTGCAGGGAGCTAAATGCTAACACATCTTTTGGCATGTAAACATGCTAACATTTGCTAATTAGCCTAAACAATAGCTGAGGTGGTGAGAAGGTCATTGTTTTATACGTATTTGGTGGTAAACAAAGTATTACACAAATGAAAATGTTTGTTTAAGAGAACAAAGTTATTTCAACTGGGAAACAGGGAAACATAAATGTTAGCACCAAATTCATGACAATCCTTCCAAATAGCTTTAGAGACACTGATGATGGTCCAAGAGGAAAAGTCAGAGGATCATCAGAGTCGTAAATATCTATACCAAACTTCGACCTATCCTTCCAATACTTAGAGATCAGTTGAGATCAAATTGGTGGACTGACCGACCAACCAGCAGACCGACATTGCCATGACTAGAGCCGTGCCACTAGCAGGGCTTTTTTGCATTATGTATCCATCACATAGTAAGCAGCATAGCTTCATCAGCTTGGTAAAGCACTGTATGGACACATCAGTCTATATAATTTGTCTTTACAGCATAAAACCACAAAATAACATCTTTACGTCTAAATCATTTCACATCAGGATCATCAATCAAGTCCAGTTGTACAACAATGACAAATAACCTTGACATTAATGATCAAATTTAATTTCTAATGTGCTGACATAGCATAGAAATTAAGTAATTCCTCTTAATATGAAAAATAATAATGGTGAATCTGTGTGTAAATTAAGCACACGTACATGAAAACGTTTGAATGTATCTTACCTGCGTACACGGTGTGTGGGACTTTGTAGCCACCTAGATCTGAACCTGAAGGAGATGTGAGGTCCCTCATCTCACAAGTGTGAGTGTGTGTGTGTGTGTCCTTAAACTCCCTCAGACCCTCCCACACACACCCTAACAGTGTCCAGTTCTGCTCTGAGTGGGGAAACGTTTAGTCTCTGTCTTCCAGCTCTTCTCTCAGGGCACAGCCCATGTAAAGACCTTTGTCCAGCAACCCAAACCAACACATGATGTCAACCCACTATTCCTGTCTGTCTGACAGGCATCAAACACCTGTCCAGTCTCTGTCTCATACAGACACACAAGGACAGGAAGACCCCTCACCAGTGGATATTTAGACAGCAGTGTCATTGAGTGTATGTGTATATGTGTGTGTGTGTGTGTGTGTGTGTGTGTGTGTGTGTGTGCGTGCGTGTGCGTGTGTATGAGTTCATAAAGCCAATTATAGTTTATAGAGGAAAGCTTGGTCATAATTCTTTACTGATGTGCCGTTCTCTGCAGCTGACACTTAATGCCTAACAACCACTGCACACACACAGACACACAGCTCTATAGCAGAAGACCTAACAATCCCATTCCCAAAGCCAAAGGCAATGTGTTTGTGTGAGGTGTGTGTGTGTGTGTGTGTGTGTGTGTGTGTGTGTGTGTGTGTGTGTGTGTGTGTGTGTAACGTGAGAAAGGGCAGGTCCCTGAACACCTCAGTCATCATTTGCCCTATAGTAAAGCTCTAACTTTGTCATTCAGGCCTTCTGTCTCTTGTACAGGAGGACGGATCATTACTGCAACATTTGCTCATATGAATCACAACTCAGTCAGGGCATAGCTATTCAGCTGGATCTGCTGTGATCATTACCTCATATCATACCTTGTTGACATGGTAAGTTAATCAGACAAGGTTAATACAACTTGTATCTATGAGTTAAAGGAGTCAACATTTTGGAAAAGGATAGTTAAAGTCTTCCCTTTAAATTGTTGTTTTTAAACTTAAAAAAAGTTAAATGCTTATGCTTAAAGTATTCCTTTAAAATTCTAATCTTTTTTGCTTGTGACCCCTTAATACAAATATCATCTACGACCCCACTGTCCCTTAATACAGTGGTTCCCAACCTTTTTTCCTTGAAGCCTCCCTTGTCCAAGACAAGTCAGGCCCCCCCAGGTCCAACCCCTACCCGCAGACACACACTAAATAGGTAATAAATAGCTTAATGAATTTAAATGTGGAGCAAAAATATGTTTCAATTTGGATTATACAGAGTTTTGATTATCCAATTGGGTGTGTTATTGGGATTTTATAAATTTAATTTTTGTAAATAATAATTTTGGTAACCTCACAACCTCAGCAGACAAAGTTGTGTGCACCCCCTGCGATGGACCCCAGGTTTGGAACCACTGAATAGATAAAACTATGAGATAATAGAAAAGTCTGGGAACAAACTTACTGTTACAGTTTCAGTTCCGTTATTTCCTGTAATTATCTCATAACTGAGATTTATCTTACAAACCTTTGTCCACAACTTCTCCATAGGGATGAAACGATTTGATATCATACACAATATAATTTTTTCACATATCTCTTATATTTTTCTCTATCAAATTAAATAATCTTTTTTATTTCTGAGGTAGGGTTTAAACTGTGTAAAGCAATGTCTTCGCGCCTTGATACAACTATTGGCGCGAGTGATGTCGAATAAACAAAGTCAAAAGTATTTTGAATATGAATATTGAATGTGAATATTCACATATTTGTGTCACGGTTGAACTATCTTTGCTTTTCAGTTTAGTGAATTAATTATTTAGCCTTTAAAATGGTTCCATACCCAAAGGGGACGACTTCAGAATGACATTTTACTGATACTACTGCGAACATGTGGCAAAAAAAACACACAAATCCCACAACCTGGACGTACACACACATTTACATGAACACACACAACCACACACCACATATTCAGCTGTGTGGCCTGTAAGTCAGAGCTGCGTCCAGTCTGTCAATCAGATGCTTCAATGCCTATAAATACAGTGAGAGAGGCAAATGCTCAGAATACTGACAGAAGAGATAGACTGCTGTTTCAGGGGACTGAAGAGGGGGGGAGGGGGGAGGGGGGGGGAATATCTCTGTCGGTATCTGGTATATCTCACCCCATCACCACCAGCCTGTGAATGTAACTGGATGCGCCAGTGCAAGAAAACAACCACTAGAGGGTGACCTAACTATTGATTTGAGCTTCAAGACTACACAGCTCTCTGCAGCTGATGCCTTCGGAGGTACAGAGGGAATCTTTGGAATTTAAATTAAAAAGCAAAACACTGTAGTAAAGACTGAAATAGTTTCATTACCATGAGAAACTAGAGAGGTTCCTGTTTTTGTTTGGCAGCTGGTGTATTTTCCTCCAAATGACTAAACTCACATCCAAGGTGTGATCCATATTTACCTGTAATGGTGTATTGTAGTTTTGTATAACGATATACTCACTGGCTTGCCGTGCCTTTTCCATGTAGGTGGTGGAGAGCTCGTCACTGACTGGAGTCAGCTGTGGTCCCACCATGGGCACCAGTTGATTACCAGAACCCAACATCAGAGCCTCTTTCGCCCGTTCAGGAGATACAAGCGGTGGGCAGGCCAGCCCGATGCAGCCCCCTGCCTCCTGGAAGCCGCTGTCCCCTTCTCCCTCAGCTTCCACCAACCCCTGATCGGGGGTCGGAGTGAGTGTGTGTGGGGTCAGGGTGTGCGGAGTGTGCACTGGTGTGGTCCAGTCAGTCTGGAGGGGCTGGTAGATGAGCTCTCTGCGAGGGACGCCAACAAGACACTGACCCTCCCACTGTCCCTGCATGGATACCCCTGCATCTGTGGCGCTCTCATACCTTAGAGGACAGTCAGAATACAACAAAGATCAAGAGGCTTGTCAGGGAGGCTTAGTTGACCTTATACGATGAATCTGATCTGAAATGTCAAATCATGCTCTTCTTGCTTGTAGAAAAAACTGACTACTTGTATTAAAGGTACACAGATTGTAAGGAATAAAGGATAGAAGGGCTGTAAAGAAGAATTTCTGTCTGATGAAGTTGGTCCTAAATAAACCTTTCTTACAAAGAGCTGAAGTACTGTCTCTTCACCTCAGTTTAAGCTCAATATATTTTCCCACTTGGGATTTCTTTCATCAATATTTCTAGGAGAAAATGATTGATTTCTCAGATTTTATTGTCTAGTACAGTCGTAGATGTCCTCTATGGTTAGAATATAGACAGGAAACCACAATATGATAGTTCAGCTTTTTTTTTAAAAACTGATAAAAGAAACTTTCCTTGGCAGAAGACATTGAGAACAGGAAGTGGGGAGCGACTTCAGGTCTCTCTTACCCGCTCATCTCTGAGGTCTCCTCCTCTTCTTGGTTGTCATAGCGTGCAGGAGAGCGTGCGTGAGGAGGTGTGCGGCGTTGGCGACGGTGCATGTGTGAGTGTGTGTCTGCATCACTGTCTGTCTCTCCGTAGTAGGCCTCGCTGTCTGGAGGGGAAGTGATGCCCTTGGGTATCCCGGTGGGGGACAGGATGGAGGAACGCTGGGAGGTCAAGGGAGCCGCGGTGGGAGACAGGACCCTCATGGAGGAGCGGGGTGATGCAGAGCAACCAGAGTAAGATGAGGAGTGGAATCCAGAAGGGGCCCTTGAAAGTTGTGAAAATGCAAAATGTGCATCAGTTTGTTTGTAACAAAGTCAAAGAGTGTGTGATGTATGTGTGTGAGTACATGCTCTGACCTTTTAACCCTCAGGCTGAGTGTAGCGCTCTGTGAATCTATAAGGTTCATGGCCTCGGCATGACTGAGCTCTGCACACATATGGTGGCCAATGGCTACCAGCTCATCATACTCCTTCAGTCCAGCTCTGCACGCTTTGCTGCGCCTGCGTACCTGCAGAGAGGAAAGGGGTTTAATAACACATTAATACTTGTAGCGTTGGTAAATATATACATACACATTACATTGTCTACTTTCCCACATTTCATTAGTTATTTGAGTTTTTAGACCAGTGGTTTTCCACCTTTTTGGCTTTTTGAACCCTTAAAACAAAACAATTCTACATGCTGTATGTGTATATGTTTTGACCAGGATGAGGATGTCTTAGGGAAAAACATCCAGTCATTCACAAGAAATAAAAACTAAGATTTAAGGACCTTATATACATACAAATACATATACTTTTGTGTAGCATAAATGTTTTTATTCTGCTTTTCCTTTTTATTTGTCTCAAATGTATCTTATAACCACTTGGGATGTCCCAACTTCCCATCAGGACCACTATCTTGTTTTGTCCCCTTGCAACATTTTGTGATTCTCTTTGGTGACTGCTATTTATCCCAAAGTTTGCACTCTGAAACTATATTTTGTCTTGAACATAAGGAACAGTTTGGAACTTAAAGTATCAACGTTTATTTTACATAAAATTCTGACTTTGGTGACTCCTGGTCGTAGTTTTCATCCCCCAACATTGTATCTAACCAGGGACACTGAGAATAAATGGGCTGAAAGCAACATATACACTGAGAAAATCATTTAATACCATAATCACATCAAACGTTTATATATAGTGGCTTAAAGGCAGTGAAAACATATTTTCTTAATTTCTTACAATGAGTGATGGGTGTTTTGCAAAAGTTTAAACAGTTGGTTATTTTACATGAGAGATTTCAGGTTTTCTCTGAGCTCTTCTCACTCAGAGAGAAGTCTGCCTGGTGGCAAGCATTAAGAATAACTACACAGAAATAGCCAATCTTATCACTGATGGACTGGTGTGCTTATGTAGGTCATATAATATTAAATTAAGACTGCTTAAAAACTCCGTCTTCCACCACAGTTTTAAACTCAGCAGATAATCATCTCAGTAGCCAGGTTCCTACAGACTGTACAGTGTTACCATTTCACCAAAAAATGGTTTAAAGCTCAGCGACTTGTTCGACAACACTCGGCTCTCTTCTGCTGCCAGAAATCCTCGCCGCTGTATCAGAATAACTAATGAAGTCATGCATCTGTTGCTGGAGGTCGCTAAGAGATGATGTCATAGTACACTTCAGGAAGTATGTCTGTGGGTGGTGGGTGATAGATGGGAGAGACGGAAAGGCAAGTTCTTGTCCACTAGAAGGAGAAGATGATAAGACCCTCCCCTTCTGTCTCCTCACACATACACACTAATACACCTTATCACCAAAAATGTTGAGAGGAGGAAAGTGTGTTCCCGCACCTACTTGGACTCTTAAGAGGAAACAGTATTTGCCTTTATCAGTATCTCTCGACCCAATAATTCCATTGCGGCGTCACACAAACACGAGCAAGGACAAGCTATCTACCTCGTACTTTTCCACTCAGACAAATGTACACGTACATATACACACACAGCACAAGGGTACATCTTTTAAGAGGGGGACAGCTGCATCACCAGTCTGGATCTGGAACGATGGGGGGGGACGCTTGGCATTCACCATATGTTCCCCACATACCCAAAATAAAACCTTGCAGGAAAATCAACCACATTCCTAGACAGATGAAGAAACACCGGCGCTGCTGTGATGGCAAAGACAGCAACAAAAAGAATACTAACAACAAAGTGCGTGTGCGTGTGTGTGTGTGTGTGTGTGTGTGTGTGTGTGTGTGTGTGTGTGTGTGTTTCTGTATCTCTGTGTGTGAAAAGAGGACTTTTTCCGTGCTCAGCTTCCAACTCCTTTTAATGGAGCTATTCTGATCCTCTAGTTTGCTCTCTATTCCCAAGCTGGCTTATCTGAGGTATGCCCAACTACACTCACACACACAAACGACAGGTTACACACACCCATATGCCAATAAGAGGAAGCACACACTGATCAAACTCTCATTAAAGGTGACCTTATCTGTGTGAAAATCCTGGATAAAGAGTGGCCCTCGGTGCCAGAGCCACTCAACCTCCATTTTGAATCGGAGGTAATGGCAGCTTGTGAGTGTCGGGCCAACTTTGAACGTCAGTGTGAGGGAGGTCACATTCCCCCTCTCCAGAATAGATTTTCTTATTAGAGAGAACATTCTGGACTGTCAACAAATATAAACGCAGACACAAAAAGCTTCTGGAGAAACCAAAATTAAGACGAATATTCCCAGGCTTAAAGTCGGCTTATTGTGTCTACTAAATATGTGACGATGACAAATTGTTGACAAAGTTCATCATCTACCGTGTATGTGTGCACAGTGGACACATTCATGTGCACAACATGCAATGTGTTTATTGTGCACATATAGAATAGTAATATGCATGCACTGCACACTAACCTATTTAAAAGAAACCAGTGCTAATCTCTGCTGCCATCAAGATGCAGAGAAGAAACCCGAGTCAAGATCAACCCCTTAACAAGTGTTTAACACTGTTCTCTGACCCACAAACACAACTGAATCACAACGGGGAGGATAAAACTGAAATTGGTATGAATAAATTGTACTAGTATATCCTAGAAGTACTGTTGTGTGGAGTAGAGAGAAGATTACTACTCAAGTAGACAGCAGAAAAGTAGCATTTTTCTGAGTGACAATAATTTAAATGTGAATAGACGTCCTGTTTGATATCCTGATTATAAGCATTTCAATATGACTGTTCATCAAACTAATCCCTCCCTATTTACGAACTTACTGACTTTAGAACGCACTCACTTAAGTACAGGTGTGTGTGAAGAGGGAGACAGTTACACTGACAAAAGTGCATGTATTTAGTATTTTACACTCCTTGAAAAAACCTACGAGCACCTGAAATTTAAGTTCATAATGACACCAACGCAAAGAGGTACTGATTCAGTTATTCAGACTTTATGCCGACTAACAAAGCTCAGATTACAAACACAGCAAACCACAAGACTGACCCTCAAACCCTCAGACCACAACTAACAGCTGCAGTTTCTATTAAACCCATCTACTCATGTTACCACCTTGGCAGTAAGTCTTCCCTGTAATGCACACACACACACACATATAGGCTCCGGTATACCTTGGCCACCTGTAGAGGTTTTTGCTGCTCCGCTCCTCCCTGTAGTCTGAAGCCCCACGGTGCTCCTCCAGAGAGGGAGAGCACAATCTCCTCCGCTACCATCCCTGCTCCCAGCTCACAGCCTGCTGTGTGTGAATACGTTTCTCTGCCCTTCTCTCAGCTCCTCACACTCCGCAAGTATCAATGAGCGCGCCTGAAGCTCCTGTCTCCCACTCCTCTCTGTGACCACGGCAAATCACTCCACCCATGAGGAGACAGGGGGTGGCTGGCTTTCATCTGCTTACACTGGAATGCTGTGTCGGAGGGTGGGCAGTCAGGAGTGTGAGAAGGGGAAAAAGTGTGTGTGTGTGTGTGTGTGTGTGTGTGCATCCTCCCTTGTGTTCAACACTTGCCATGTCACTCTCAAGCACTCTGTACAGGAGGGGATGCTTGCTGATATACGCTCCCGAAATAACCACTACCAGCACTCCCTCTTTGACCCCCCAGTGCAGCCGGCCTGGCCAGCAGCCACGGCTCACGGACTCGCCTTCATCTACCCACAGCAGAATGAGGGATGTGAGGAGGACATATTTAAAGAAATTCGGAGGGTTTAATGTCTGTTCGGTTTAACAGCTTCAGAGTGGGTGCTAAAGGGAGAGCTGTGCTCCAGTGACCTATATATATATTTTTTTATCCTTCAGCAGTCAAGAAACATAACTTTACACATTAGATTTAGATTATTAATATGAGGGTCAGGTTCTACGTTGATTACTGGCTCTTAGACTGCTGATCTTGAAGAAAAGCATCTGATCACCTACTGAAACTCATGCAAGGTTTGTGATTAATAGCCTCCTAACATAAATCCATATTGGGCTTGATTGCAAAGGATCTGGGCCTAATTTGTCCCAGTAAATTGATACTCATCCCCAATGTGTACCCCCAAAATAAAGCCAAATCTGGAAAACATGATATGGGCCCAGGCCGGCTCACATTTGGTTCTGACACTTTGGTCCAATTAAGTTGTCTTCCTCTTGACACATTATTATTATTATTATTTGATAAATGACTGGAAGGATCACCATAGCCCTATTGGCTCTTAGCCAAAGGGGAACTTCCACTCCAGACATGTATTATGTAAGACATATAAGACAAATACTCTGCTTGGAACAATTATGTGTCTGAAGTTTTTTCTGCAGAAGATTTATAATTTCTGCATTCAAATCCTTAAAAAGGCATCAACTCCTTCTACCTCGTTAAAAATTAACTATAATTTCATACAAAAACTATGAATATTAAATTAATATAGTTTTCGTGTTGGACACAATCTGTCTCCTACTTCACTGTAAAGTCCACTCTCAGTGTGCGTACACTGACGGCTTCAGGTTTCTACATCACACTTATATAAGTTGCATACTGCTCCAGGATTTGGCTTCCAAACAATTTGTGATGTCACAAATAATGCTTGTAGGCCCCGCCCCTTAAAATCTGATCTTTCACTGAGCTCAGAGAAATGAGAGAAGATGAATGTGAAAACATCCTTCTAGTGTGAAACAAACATAGTGTGGACGTACATTATTACTGCACGGTGAAGCTCAAACATCCAACTGTAGGATCAAGAAGAGAAACATATTTTTGAATGGAGGGGGATTTTAAAAGAGCCAATGAATGTGAAAACAACAGAGCTGGGCAGTAACTAGTAATTATAGTAATTATATCACTTTCCCCAGCAACTAACAGTGTAACTACTTACTAATACATTTCAGTAATAATATTACAATCCCCCCCAAAAAAACAATTATTAGTTAGAATATTATTTTGTAGGCACCGTACTAATTTAAAATCCAACAGTCCAATCACATCCTTGGATTAATTTATGTAAACATGGAGGAAAATAGTTTGGAAGATGTAAACGTTCATATTAAGTGGCTGGAAATATTCCCATTACTTTGATTTTAACAAACAAAACTGGATTTTAATCGTCAAATGTCTGAATTTTAGGGAGAAAGGACACAATTTGATACTATTGTATGTAAACTCTTTTTATTGCACCATATTCCCCAAAGCTGCTGTGGGGGATTAATAAAGGTATATATCTTATCTTAAATTATCAATTTTGCGCGGAAAGTAATGTAACTAGTAAATAAATACAGTAATAATTTAAAGTGTAAAGAATAAATCACATTTTGTGAGTAACAAAACTGTAAAACAAGAATTACTGGGGCCATAATTGTGCATATATATCATTAAATAAAAGTGTTTTAAATGTAAAATCTTGTAGTGCTGTGGGTACAGTAGAGAAGGTGAAAGAGGAGTAGTGGGGGGGGGGAAGTCGCTCTACGGTGTCCGGATGTGGACGTGGCACAGCGCTGCAGCAGTTCCGCTGAATGTCCGCTTCTGATACCGAGGAGGGATTAACGAGAAACACCCCGGGACCACATCGACTTCACAGTTTGTCGGCCGCCGGGTTTCACAGTTTACCCCGAGACAAGTGGACCACCCTTACTCTTTACCACCGGTCGGAGGTAGGTTTGAACCCGGGGAATGAGCCCCCCCCGGCCCGGCTTTTACATCGCTTTCGCTACGTTAGCTAATGCTAGCGAGGGGCTAGCATGGCTCGGCGAAATAGCTGGCGGTTATTAGCTAAGCTTAGCGTTGGTGAGCTAACATTTGCTAACCGTAGCTACCCCCCCTTACCCCCTACCCTTACCCCCTACCCGTACCCCACCTCGTCGGGTTGAGGCGATTCGTCCACAGCTGATTCAACCACTTAGTGCTGTCATCGTGATTCAAGTAGTGTGGTTGCTAACGTTAGCTCTCTTATGTTGGAGCTAAAGACGTTGTTTACCGCTGCGGGTCAGACTCGTATCAGTCGAGCCGGATCAAGTGTGAGTCAAGCCGGATTCAAGTGTTAGCCAGCCAGCCTCTTGTGTTGTGATGTTTTCTGGTTGACAGTGCTAACGTGAGCTAGGTGGCTAACTGAGGCTGCTCCCGTTAGCACACTCGCCTTTACCACCACGAAGCTGGAGTTTAAACCATCCCCTGCCATGTGTTTCTTATTCTTTTCTTTTCTTACCTAGTGTTTGGCTGTAATTGCTAACCCCTGCTGCTCACTGTGCGACCTCACCAGGGCAGCAGATGTGGGTCACTCAGTAGGCCCGACCTACTAAATAGCTGTGCGGCTCCAGAGATTGTGTTTCTCGTTGTGGCACCTGCACTGCTGAATTATTCAAAGGCCCCCGCTCGTCCAGCCCGTGTTTGTGTGTTAGGTGATACTCATCTCTCTTGTCATATAAGTTAGGCCAGTCTCCAGAAGCCAAGTGGATAAACACACTTCTGTTGGCAAGGTTCAAGTCCTAAAGTTGCCCCCTTCTTCTCATGACTCTGCTGTTATGAACACTTTCCACATGTGTGACTCCAGTAGACATTACACACTGTCTGCACAGGATCAGGCTTTTAATCTTGGCCCTCAAAGCAGAGAGAATAGTTTCTAGTCTTGTTGTTTGTGTCTGATTTGTTTTAAATGTTAGTCTGGTGACTTGTTTTCATTTAAAACATCATTATAATGAGGTTACTGTGGTGCTGCAGAGATGCCCTGGCCTACAAATCTTGTTCTACGGATTTAAGAAAGCATGTTTGTTTGGTACAGAAATAAAGTGTGTGTGTGTGTGTAAACTTAGTTAATGGCTAGTGACTGAGATGCAAGCTGTGGGTGTGGCCAAGGTAAATATAAAGAGCTAATAAAGGTGTCACTGAAACAGGAAGTACTAATGTACCAAAGAAAGTTTGACTGTAGAAACTTGTAGAGTTAATATCTGTGTGTTTTGTGTACTTTTCTTGTTCAGGTGCGATGGGCACTGTGTCTCAGATCAGTTGTTGTGTGATTTTGGAGGTTCTGTTCTGTTCATGGAGTGAGCAGATTGTCCCAGCTCCTGGAAAAGACTGCAACGACTGTCCCTTCAGGCTCCGAACCTAACTCTGTCTTTATCATTAATACCATTTGTCTCACAGGCTTTTACACTTCAGGGCAACCTGGTTGTGAAATCTCTGTTTAGAACCGGGAAACAAGCTAAGCGGGTTTAGTCGCAGTAAGTTTACATTATGACGTGTGTGTTATAATTGTGTCACAATTTCATCCAGATTTAGGGATGAACTGAGGATGAATGTAAACCAGCCCACTCCAATGGCCTCTCCGTATGGCCAGCCCCAGCCTGGCTACGGCCAACCTGGCTACGCACCCCTGGATGGGGGATACCCTGCACCCTACGCACCCTACAATGGCCCTGCTTCAGCCTACCAGCCTGGGGCTCCGCCACAAGGTAAACAGTTTTCTTCTGAGAAAGTTTGCTTGTAAGTAAGTGAGTGAGTTGAGAGTGAGAGAGAGAGACCAGATCTGCTGTGATGCTCTTCAACTGCTAATACACTCATAACCTTGGAGTGTCCTTCTACCTGCTTCTCGCCGTGTGATTGTTCATGTGTGTGTATGTAAGAACAGCACTGTGTCTGTGCATACTAATCTGAATCTAAACTCCCCTCTCATTTCTCCATGTGGCTTTACTCATTTCCCCTACATCTCTCTGTGTTTGCCCTCCTTCCTTCTTTTCTTGTATTTCAGGTTATTCTCCTTTCACAAGCTTTCCCTCTAAGGCTGTGGCTGCCAACCCAGTCTCTGACCTCTCCTCTCCTCTTGACTTAGGTAACTGCCTCCTCTCTTGTTCTTGCTCATTTCACACTCCACATGCTCTGCAATCATCGAATCCTCTCTGTACGTGCATTATCTTTGCTGCCACGACCTTTTCTCGGCATACAACAGAAGATCTTTTCTACCAAACACCAGTGACTGTTCAGTGTAGCAGCCAACCAGTTACTAACCTTTTTATTACCAAGTGTTTGCATTACCCAGAAGTGTGAATCACAGATGTTCCAAATTAAATCTCTGCATCCACTGGTCATATTTATTTTCTGTTTGTTCACATTGTATTTTTTACACACATATTTTGATGTTATTATAATGTCCAGTAGGGAAGGTAGACTGGTTTATTTTGCTACTCAAACTACTCTCATGACGGAAAATTTAAAACGGTAAGAGTAGCTGGATTTTATCTGTCGTACATACAAGTAACATCCTAAAATTGTCGGATGTCTGGTGTTTATTTCCAGTCTCAATCAGAATATTGGTCCCATGAATTTAACTTGACCCTCTTAGTACACAGTCTCTGCAAACCTGGTTTCAGTATGTAGTCTGTGCTCCTGACCGCAGAGGCAAAACCAGGGAATGTAATCAGTTAGGTCTAAAAATGTGTTGGTGGTCTATAGGCATGTTTTGCTTGCTGCACTAATCTCATCGGGTTTGAAAGATTGTTATCAGAGTGATTTGAGGATTATTTGTTGCAGGGGTGATTATGCGTTTTTACAGGTGTGTAATATTTTGTCTCTGCATTTCAGGTCCTGCCAGGGGTCCTCCCGTCTCTGGAGCCCCCCCAGTCTCAGCGCCTCAACCGTATAATCAGTACAGTCACAGTCGAGGGGACATGCAGAATGGACCCCCACTTATGACACAGGCACCACCCAGGTAATTTCATGTTGATTGATTGTTGTGTAGTGTTTTTAGGCCTCGGGTTTTTGAATCAATATGTAAAACTTTTATCAACAGAGATACTTAAATTCTTTTCTACTTGAGGTGTGAACACTTCCATTATTCAAAGTCTGCAGCTTTCAGTCCATGAGCTCAGCTCATTGAAGTGGGTGACAGAATCCATTTAAACACACTAAATAAGTGCACTGAGGCTGTCTGAAACCTCAGGACTTGGAGCTCCTCCAAGAAGACTGTCGTGAGGTTAGTTAGTAGTGAAAGTGGACTCCAAACCCAAATTATTCAAAAACACTGTCAATGTGATGTGAGTTCCAATTGCTGCTGATGTTCAGTTTTCTTTTTTCTTTATGTGCTGGTATTAAACACAAGATAAAGCCTGCCACTGCAAAGACGAAGACTTTGAAGTCCATCATGCTAGGATAATATTATACTGAACTGCCTCAGGAAACTCTAATGTCGGGAAGTTTATGAAGGCTGTAGAACAGTTACTTTCTCTAAATGCACTGTTTCTAGTTACAGCCCCTTGACTGTAGTTAAACCACCGGTAGTTCAATATGTTTATCATGTTAGGCAGTGAGTTTACATGCACTTAAGTAATCAGCTTACTGGAAGTCCATATAACCACGCAGCAGGTCAGCAATCAGGTTTCTCCACCACCCTGAACGGTACTTTGGAAGCATGGCTTTCTTATTTTAACTACATTAAGGATAGAAGATGCTGTGTCAGTCTGTCCTGACTATTTTTGTGGGTATGTGTGTTGGACCAGACTGACAGGACAGTGATGACAGACAGAGCGGAGCCTTCCCTCACAGTGTGAATGTGTCTGAGTTTTGCTTTGGTTATAATAGAAACCATTCATTACTATGTAAGGATCTCTCCTTTTCATTCAGACGTGTCTCTGTAAAGTCTTTGTCCTGCACATATGTACATGTGAAAAGATAAACCTGGTCATTGATACATGGCCAAGAAATGTGGGTTCTCCAGGAGGAATCTAGCCAGAGAAACCCAGTCTCTCTAATCTCCTAACTCGATTATGTAAACCAGTTTCCAATTTACAGGCCGTTTAAGAAATCAGCTTACTGTAGAAAACGGACTGTTACTTTGGTGCATGTATATACACACTGAAACATTTGTCTGTTTCCAGGCCTGCTGTGCCTCAGTCATACAACCAGGGGGCTGTGAACCTGTCAGGGGGGCATCCCTCCTATTCCCAACACTACGGGCCCCCACCCTCAATGCAGCAGGTCACTAACCAGATGACTGGGATGCAGATCACCTCTGGACCGCCAACCCCCGCAGGCCCAGGATACGGTACGTTAAGATGTAACTTGTGTGAATGTGATGTGGATGTATGTTAACAAACGTGTTGTAGATTCATGTATCAGACTTTGTGTCAGCTGGAGATAACCACACTGTCTGTCGCTCTCTCCTCAGCTCCACCTCACAGCTCCCAGCCTCCTGCCAGTACTGCCTACTCGGCCGCACCTCCGCCCTCATACACCCAAGCCCCTCCCCCCGCGTCCTCTGCCCCGACCCAGCCGCCACCTCCCAGTGGCCCTGCAGCTTCTCAGCAATACTACGGAGGCCCCCCGCCTCCTTCTCAACAGCCATTCAACTCTTCTCTTCCCCCTACCTCTCAACAGCAATTCACCTCTTCTGCACCGCCGCCTCCCGCCTCTCAGCAAACCTTTCCTCCCGCCTCTCAGCAAACCTTTCCTCCCGCCTCTCAGCAAACCTTTCCTCCCGCCTCTCAGCAAACCTTTCCTCCCTCCTCCTACTCGGGTCCTGTGCCTCCACCCAGCCAAGCTCCTGCTCCCCCAGTGTCCCAGCCACAGCAGCCCTTCCCTCCAGCCCAGCCCCCCTTCTCCTCAGCACCTCCACCTGTCAGCCAGCCTGCCTTTGTGTCCGGCCCTCCTCCCCCTGCCCAGGGCTCTTTCCCACCTAGAGCACCCCCTCCTTCCTCTCAACCTGGGTCTTTTCCTCCTCCCACCTCAATTTCCTCTGGCCAGTACCCAGGCCCAATGCCACCCCATCAGCAGCCCCCTCCATCCCAACCACCCCCCTACCTCTCAGGTCCTCCCCCTTCCGGTGTCCAGATGCCCCCCACTTCCATGGCCCAGAGTAACCACCTCCCTCCAGGACCACAGGGCCCTCCGGGCCCTCCTGGGCCCCTGCAGCAGCCTCAATCTCAGCCCGGCATGCAGGGAGGATACCCTCCTCAGCAGAATGGTGAGGAGAGAGCCCTTAAGTAGAAGCTACATAGTGTTCACTTGTTTTCTCCATCACAAATGTATTTATTTGTGATCTTCAGGTGCATTTGGACAGGTGAGAGGCCCTCAGCCTGGATATGCAGGCCCTTATCCCGGGCAACCAAACTATGGAGCCCCTGCACCAGCACCAGCTCCTGCTCCCCCTGCACAGAAAAGACTTGACCCAGATGCCATTCCCAGTCCGGTGAGCAGACACAAACAAACACACACACACACACACACTTTTATACTTTTCTAAACCAAATACCGTGGTCTACAACACAACATCAATGCTGACCATTTCTGTTCTTTACACCATGTTCTGATATAAGGTAGCAGTGCCTAATTTACCCTGCACAATCTAATGCAGTTCAATACAGCAGTTCTGCCATGAAGTCCTCTTTCATAATGCCTATAATGGTCAGTTTTTTTGACACTGATAAAGGTCTTAATTAAATTTAGCATTCAGGACATAGTGATGTTGTTGTACTGAACTGGATTATATTCAGAGAAAAAAAAGAAACACTTCTCAATATAATACAACACCACCTTTAACTATGACCCCAGTAATAAGCATGTAACTGAATTCACACATTTACAACGATGTAAAATTCAGGTGGGAAAAAAATTATAAACATCAACCTGTGAGATCAGATTTACTAATGGTAATCACAGTACATATTTATACATTGATTATTGAAAATGACCCTATAATTATCCTGTTGTTGCCTTACTGTTAGAGGGCTAAAGCCGGAGATATACTTGCTTTTTAACTATGCGCCTGTGTTGCGTTAATTTCTGAGCATGTGCACAACCAGCGGCTCCAAACGGACGCAAGATATGCAAGTTAGCCATCATGCGAACGCATTGTTAAAAGCCAGTATATCTCAGGCCTAACAGTCATGTTTTCACTTGTTTGTAACCTTCTGTGGCCTTGTTTACATATAGAGCTGCTTAGCATGTGAGTCAGGCTACTGGTATATTAGTCTATATCTACTTGCGCTTGACTGTCATAGTCTACAGTGCTACTAATCTATAATCAATACTACTGATAAGTTTCTGTCTGAATAACAAGAATTCTGCCTGCTACTCAGCATAGTCTTGCTGAGTTTTCTCTTTTCACACTCTCTTTTATATTTTCACTCTTTGTATTTATTTATTTTGTCCTGTTTTGCACAATTTGCTGGACAAACATTTGAATGTAAAGCAAGCGTCTGACATGCCGGCTGTGCAGAAATCAAGACATAGAATAGATCCAGACGCTATCCCCAGCCCAGTAAGTTTCCTGTGTGCCTGCCTTTTCCTCTGCTTCCTGTCCTCTCCGTACGCTTGCACTAACCTACAGCTTCCACATCCTCTTCTTCCCGTCGACCGCCTCAAAGTCAGCAATAGCCACAATCTTTCTTTTTTTAAATAAGAACAATTTCAACTTACTATGTCCGTTCATGATCAGTCATCCCAGTCACAGATCATTTAAAGGAGTGATAGTAGTTTTTGTGGGGAAAAAAATGCTTATTTGCTTTCTTGCCGAGAGTAATATGAGACGATTAATGCCGCACATGTCTGTAAGCTAAATATGAAGCCAGCAGCCCGCTCAATTAGCTTAGCATGAAGACTGGAAAGTGGGGAAACAGTTGGTCTGACTCTGTCAAAAAGGTAACAAAGTATGTCAACCAGTAACTCTAAAGCTTACTAATTAACACCTTGTATCTGTACAGTGTAAAAACAAAAGAAATTGTGCTGGATAACTATTTTGTAGCTGGTTAGCTTCAAGTGATTATCTCTGCAAGGAAGCAACTTTCCAACTATTCCTATAAGAATCATCTTCGTGTCTTAGAGGCCGTGATGAGTCATATTATTGTGGCCCCAGTTTTCCACTCTACGTATCATTATATGCACTGGATCCCATAACCCCGTGTTGGTTGTCACCACTGCCTCACTCCCACCTCACCTTCTTTGTGTTTTTGATTAGGACTTTAAGGCAGCCAATCTAAAGACAGCCACCCCCTTCTCTCTGTGCCCTGCATGCCTGCCTGAAATGTTCTGACTTACCCACAATTCCTTGCATTTAATAGCATGCCTTCATAAATCCCTTTTTTTCTAAGGGATTTAATTCAGTTATATTTTTAAGTCAGTCTGTCGTATTTGTAAATCTACGCAGTTTACTTCAGCATGCATTTGTACCATATGTCACCTTAGTCATGGCTGAATGTGACATTTTTATCCACAGCTGTTAATGGGTGTGTGTTTGGTAACTGCAGGTGTGTGTGTAGAGGTTGTGTGAAAGTTGTCTCCTGCATGGGTGTTAAATGTTCCTCCTGTAGACTGTTTGAGACCCGGGGATATTGTGTAATGTCACTTAATTGTGTGTATTTATGCTGCAAACGTGTATAAAGGTTGTGACGTTTGTGCCCCCTGCTCCCCTGTTTAGATCCAGGTAATAGAAGATGACAAGGCTAAGAGCAACGAGCCATTCACCACAGGGGTCAGAGGTCAGGCCCCACCGCTGGTCACCACTAACTTCCAGGTCAAAGACCAGGGTAGGTTCTACTAACACTTCCACATCTGGGAACTTCCCATCTTAGGATGGTATGTGGACTGTGCAGAGATTGTGATTTTAATGGAGAATCTGTGTCTGTGTTTAGGGAATGCCAGTCCCAGGTTTATCCGCTGTACGGCCTACAATATGCCCTGCACAGCTGATATGGCCAAGCAGTCTCAGGTGCCACTGGCCGCCGTCATCAAGCCCCTCGCCACGCTGCCGCCAGATGAGGTGAGCGGTGCCCCTAATTTTTGTAATTTTTGTAAGTCCTATTTAATTAGGTCTCTTTTTTCCAGCTTTGTCTGATCTGTAGCTGTTAGTGCATGACCCAGTATCATGAGAGCATGAGATTAACTGTGTTAATTGGAAAGCTGGCTGAAAGCAAACGAAGGAAGATTCGTTTTGGACCTCTTGCAGGATGCGATAATAGAGGTTGACAGTCAAAAGAGCTCTGTATAAAATATTCATAGCATATTATCTTTGGTTCTTGGCTGTGTGCTTAGAGCTGCAATGATAAGCTGATTTATCGATTAGTTATACTGATAGTGATAATTGACTGATCGTTGTAGTATATTTTTCACTATTTTCTGACATTTTATAGACCACATGATTAATCGAGAAAGTAGTTGTCACTCTCTTCATCTTCATGTGCCACAGTGCAGGTCTATCTTCCACTGAGATTTTCATAGCAGTTGGACAGTCTCCACCCATAACCTGATTTGAAAAAAGATTATTTTTTCAGCCTGATATGTAGTTATTATGACAGGATGTCAGTGGGATAATCTCAAAATCACAGAGGTGGGAGTGGCTGCATGACCTTGTTTCGTGCAACCACCACGTGTAACCAATATCCATTTGGACCAGTTTTACATTACATCATTTTGGCCGCCTTATATAAAAGATGGTGTAAATATTTACTGTTAAGGGAGGAGCACACATCACCTCCTGTTTCAGTAATCGTGTCCTCATAGATGAAGTCACCCTTGTAGCTAAATTGTACGACTCAACTTATTGCATAGGCATTCTCTTACTCCTTTTATTGATTCTCTTACCAGAGCCCTCCATATCTGGTAGACCATGGCGAGAGTGGTCCAATCCGCTGCAACCGTTGCAAGGCCTACATGTGTCCATACATGCAGTTCATAGAGGGAGGTCGCCGCTTCCAGTGTGGGTTTTGCAGCTGCGTCACAGAGGGTGAGTCAGAGTTTGTGTGTTTAAACATGTTTTTCTAAACTAAGTTCGCTGTACTGATTTCATCCGCTTGTCCCTCCTGTCTCTTTTTCCCCCATAGTGCCTCCACATTACTTCCAGCATCTGGACCACACTGGTAAGAGGGTGGACTGCTACGACAGGCCGGAGCTTTCCCTGGGCAGCTACGAGTTCCTGGCCACCGTCGACTACTGTAAGGTAAGTCCTCGTATCAAAAGCATTCCTATCTGCAGGAAACAACAACAACTACTATAATGGCCTTAAGAGCTCTAAATTAAATTATACAGTCTGAAGTGGATCTTTTACCCATGAATCTCCTCAGGCATCTGCAAACATAATTCTGTGGAATAGAAGCTTATTAGAGGTCAGAATGATACAACAATGAACAAAGACATCAACAACAATCTACAAAAATGATCCAGTCAGTTATTATTTAATGAACTAATAAAGGTAATGCCTCTAGGCTGCTGTTTAAAGTGAGTCTTGCTGAAATTGGCTTGAGCTACATTTTATTTCATGGGCATCGGTTTGGCAATAATTCGGTGCAGGGCAGCTAACAATACATTCTGTTATCTTTTATCCTGATGGGTACTGGATCGATTTTGGTATTGACGGGATAGGGAGCTTACAAAATAGTTTAACCTACCCCCCTTCAGTTTGTCTGACATTGATACACCACCCAGTTTTCCAGTGAATGTTAAGCCTTTTTAATATTTTTTTTATTTCTTTTTATCCTAATTCAGTTGGTCAGAAAATTAAGTTGCAGCACCTGTCTGTGTGGTTAATATGTTTCTGTTATTTACACATGAATTCTTACGTAGTATTTGCTCGTTTTGTCCCTCACAGAACAATAAGCTTCCTCAGCCTCCAGCCTTCATCTTCCTTATTGATGTGTCCTACAACGCAGTGAAGAGCGGCATGGTCAACATTGTCTGCCAGGAACTCAAGACCCTCCTAGACTATCTGCCCAGGTACTCAAACACATAAACACACAAGGGATGCACAGAAGGAAAGGAGCAGGGGAAGAGTGAAAGAGGAAGATAGGAAAAAGAACCAAGGAAGAAGAGACAAAGAAAATGCTAGGATGGATAGGATAGGAAGAATTGAAGCATGTAGCAAGGAAAGAAGAATGAGAGTAAAGTCAGGGGATAAAGAGGAACGAAGGAAGCAAAGAGAGTCAGAAATGGAAAAGAAGGAAGCGGGGGAAGAAAAAAACATTTCCTCTTAAGAGCGAAGATTGACTAAACACACTGCTAGTTTATACGCTCACCTCCAGCTGATGTTAAGCAAACTTGACTGTGCTTCCATTTCATCCTCTGTTCCTGCCTTCAGGGAGAACCCAGAAATGGACTCTGTGGTTCGGGTGGGTTTTGTCACCTACAACAAGGTTTTGCACTTCTACAACGTCAAGTCGAGTCTGGCCCAGCCCCAGATGTTGGTGGTGTCGGATGTATCGGACATGTTTGTGCCCCTGCTCGACGGTTTCCTGGTCAACGTCAACGAGAGCCGGCTAGTTATTGAGAGGTGGGTGGACCCAAACCAGACACACACACACACACACACACACACACACACACACACACACACACACACACACACACACACACACACATTAAAACCACATGTTTTTTGTGTGTGTGGACGGACAAATTGATCGGGTTTAATGACGAGCTGATTGTGTTTTCCAGTTTGCTGGACCAGATCCCAGAGATGTTTGCAGACACCAGGGAGACAGAGACAGTCTTTGGACCTGTCATCCAGGCAGGACTGGAGGCACTCAAGGTAAACATATTTTAAGTTAAGGTTTCCTAAGACGGGACACTGTCCCTTTTCCACAGCATTTTCCATGAACAATTTTAGGAACTACACTTTTTCCTGACGCTTAAAGATCCCAGAACATTTTGAATTGAAAAGAGATGATGATGTGTGATATTTCTTGTAGTAAATACACCTGAGGTGAGGTTAATGTAAACCTGTCACATGAGGTGTATTTACAATTTGCTGAGATATAATAAGTGAACCCTCTAACATTCACTAAAAATGTGTAGGAATGACTCAACGGGATGACTCAGATGGATTTCAGCGCAGTCTTAATGCATCTGGATATGCGATACTGAGTCTGTACAGAGCCACTGACACCTGATGATTTTTATGTTGCTGTGTGTCACTTTCTCAGGCTGCAGACTGTGCAGGGAAGCTGTTTGTGTTTCACACCTCTCTGCCCATAGCAGAGGCTCCTGGAAAACTAAAAAATAGAGAAGACAAGAAGCTGATTGGGACAGATAAGGAAAAGGTAAACACCAGTGTAACAAGTTGTGCTTTATTGTGTACTGAGTCGTGCTGTTACAAAGGGATTTTATGTATGTTTTATGTGTCGCAATTTAATATGTATTCCTCAAGACTCTCACACTGACTCCCCCTCCTCTCCTGTCTTCCTCAGTCTCTGTTCCAGCCCCAAGTGGGTTTCTACAACACCCTGGCTAAGGAGTGTGTAGCACAGGGATGTTGTGTGGATCTCTTCCTCTTCCCCAACCAATACGTAGACGTTGCCACGTTAGGGGTGGTTCCTGTCTCCACTGGAGGTTCTGTCTACAAATACACCTACTTCCAGGTGAGAGAAAACCACCTTTTTCTGTCTCATTATGAAACTGCTGCAATCGCTTATATTATGGCAACAATAAGATTTTGTTTGCAGTGTACAGAGTTTAATGATGTACTGTAGTCCCTATAATGCTGTCATTTCTGGATGATTTGCCACTGTGTAACATGTTACTTTTGTACGTAACGCATGGTGTCTTTATCCCAGGCTCAGGCGGACAAGGAGAGATTCCTGAACGACCTCAGACGAGATGTTCAGAAACTAGTAGGGTTTGATGCTGTCATGAGGGTGCGAACCAGCACAGGTGAGGCTCGCCCACTTGAAAACAAAAAATATTGCATTATTATATTATAATTAATGTGTAATTCAACCTCATGGTCCCTCCTCTTCTTCCTCTGTCATCGCCCTCTCCTCCCCTCAGGTATCCGAGCGACAGACTTCTTCGGCTCCTTCTTTATGAGTAACACCACAGATGTGGAGCTAGCAGGCCTGGACTGTGACAAGGCCATCACTGTCGAGTTCAAACACGATGACAAGCTCAGTGAGGAGACGGGGGCACTCATGCAGGTGTGCAACAAAATCTTCTGAAGGATATCCTTATTAATAAGGGAACACATTTAATTAATAATTTACAGTTCAGCCATATTTGGGTAGTTTTAACTTTGTGTGCTTCAGATTACTGCTGGTTGTCTTGTCCTACAGCTATAGTTGATTGTAGCCACCTTATCTGGCCTCCATTGCATTAAATCAATCAGTCAATTAATCTGGCATCAAATAACAAAGTAGCAGGATCTGGAGGACCAGTGATTTAGGGTTATTGAGGCACAAATGAAAAGTCACACAAGATAGTAAACTGACTTTGTTACTGTGGATATGTAAATTACAAACATTTGAATAATAACCTGTTTTTATGTGTGCGTTTTTGGGATGGCGCTGCCTCAGCTGCAATTGTATTGTGGAAAACTTGACACACATTGTTTTATTTTCACTGTAGTGCGCCGTGCTGTACACCAGCTGCAGCGGCCAGAGGCGTCTCCGTGTTCACAACATGGCAGTGAACTGCTGCTCTCAGCTGGCTGACCTGTACCGCAACTGTGAGACAGACACAATCATCAACTTCTTCTCCAAATATGGTGAGGACCGGCACGCCCTCAACAATATCCTCTTCATTGTTATTCAGTGTCGGAGGCACGGAGCGTATAATGCAACACTGTTGTACTCTAAAAGTCTGAGTAAGGTGTGAGTGGAGAAATGAATGAGTCACATTTTCTAAAAATACTATCAAGCATCCCCCAGCTGCTCCACTAGTACAGAGCTGCAGCTGCTCCTGATAGTTTGTAGCTTTGTAAGCTTGAAGTAGATCATCGTCATCATTTACTCACCATCCACAGGAGAAAGGAAGGTGGAAGATGGTAAACTGCAATCAGTTTAATACATCTTATTTTATTAGATCGCATACAATTACCTACTTATTTCATGGTGTTTGATTTATTAATTAAAAGTCATCGCTGTCACAGTCGGTATGTTTATATGTGTGTGTTTTTGTGTGTTGCAGCTTTCCGTGGCGTCCTCAGCAACCCCACCAAGGCAGTGAGAGACACTCTGGTCAACCAGTGTGCTCAGATTCTGGCCTGCTATCGAAAGAACTGCGCAAGCCCTTCATCTGCTGGTCAGGTACTGAAAGCCCTCAGTATACTGTATATACACCCAGAAGACACCACTTTGAGAAATATCTAGAGAAAGATCACTTGATGCAGATTTTCTCAACTTTTAGCTAAATAGAATCGGTCCATGTACCACAAATAACATAAATGCCAAAGTGTCTCAGTTAATTACTCTGCCTTTACACATTTAAGTGTCACTTCAGGTATTTATATCCGTGTGTGTGTGTGTGTGTGTGTGTGTGTGTGTGTGTGTGTGTGTGTGTGTGTGTGTGTGTGTGTGTGTGTGTGTGTGTGTGTGTGTGTGTGTGTGTGTGTGTGTGTGTGTGTGTGTGTGTGTGTGTGTGTGTGTGTGTGTGTGTGTGTGTGTGTCTTCCAGCTGATCCTCCCAGAGTGTATGAAGCTGCTGCCTGTCTATCTGAACTGTGTGCTGAAGAGCGACGTGCTGCTGCCGGGAGCCGACGTCTCGTTGGACGACCGGGCTTACCTGAGGCAGCTGATTAGCTGCATGGATGTCTCAGAGAGCCACGTATTCTTCTACCCCCGCCTGCTGCCACTGGTGAGACCACACATTCACATGCACACCCCAACACAAAGGTCTCCTCTCGTCACCTGATCATTTTGAGTCCATCTTATGGCGTCGGCGTCGGTACCAGTACACACACTCACTGAACCCTGACAAACTTAAAATGGCATCACGTGTGAAAATGGGCATTTCAGTCCCCACTATTATCATTAGCACACTGTAATATGTGTTCTCCTGCGTTGGTGTTTAAGGTGAAATATGATCTAGTTGTAGTCGCAGATTGATGTGTTTAAAGGCTTATCAGACACTAATACTCAGACATTCATTCAGGATCGTATCATTGCAGCAATTATTTTATCTTTTTTCACAACAATCGTGAGGTTATCAGTAGAAATACGGGGTTCATGTGAAAAGTAATCTGCCAGGAATGTGTGCTTGCATGTATTTTATTGGCCTTGTCGGGTAACGTGATGCAGTAAAAGTCGAACCAGGTTCAACTATCGCACCCCTGCTGTGCCAACAGACTTCATATGAACGAGAGGACTGCCTTTAGTGATTGTGTAAAAGTGTGGTGTTTTATTTTACCAGCTCCTTTTTTTCCCTTAATACACACTATAATCTGTTACAACACATATATTTATCAATTTATTGCACAAGAGAAAAGATGGGCTGCATTACCTCAAGTCTCCTCATCTGTAAACAACTAAAACAATACTTTGCAGGGGAGGAAAATGAAACATTTTTGGTAGATTGCAAACTATCATTCATCATAATTCATCTAATATTGTTGATTTTCTTGGACTTTCCAGACAAAGTTGGAAAGCGGGTCGTTGCCAATGGCGGTGAGGGACTCAGAGGAGAGGCTGTCTAAAGGTGGAGTTTACCTCCTGGAGACGGGACTCCACCTCTTCCTGTGGGTGGGAGCCAACGTTCAGCAGGAGCTGCTGCTCAACATCTTCGGCACGCCGAGCTTCAGCCAGATAGAGCCGAGCATGGTGAGAGGAAACGGATAGACTCCCATGTTATGTTTGTTGACCGTGGCTGTGTTTATAAGGGCCGAAGTTGTACAGCTCTTCTCCAACGTACCATGCTTCTATTTAGGGATTTTATATATTACGGTTTGTCCGTTATATCCCCTACAAAAAAAAGGGTTAACTGGATGTGTAGAAATAATGTGGATTCCAAACTAAAGAATTATCCAATAAAAATATTTGTTTCTTAGCAAAATGTAAAGGCATTCCACTATGTTTGAGTCAACTTTATGTTTATTGGGCAAAGTTAAACAAACACACTGTCATTCCAACATTTTCTACTAAATAGAAATCCAGAACTTAATCGTAATCTGCGTAATATCCCTTACTTCCCTGTCACTCTCTGCCCACTTCCAACTTTAAAATGGCTAATAGCTGTCAGGAACATAGAGGCAGATATGAGAAATTATGAAGAATGTTATTTAGTGTCTATAATAGTCTTTTCTATCATTTTCCTGGTCGACACATTATTACACCATTTATCAAGAAGAACTAAATTATTTTGTAGTTTTAATGAGAGAAGATCTTATGTAGAACAGTGGAATACATTACTTTGCAGTAAAGATTTTATTTAGGGTTTATTTTATTGTTTTGTGATGTACAGTATATATTGCTCCTATTTCATATTGGATTAACTTTCAAAGCTGAATATCACTGCTCTGTGTTTCAGACCAATCTGCCAGTGCTGGACAACCCTTTCTCTCAGAGACTCAGAGAGATCATAGATTCCTTCAGAGCTCAGCGATCACGATACATGAAGGTAAACTTTCTCTTTTCCTCCTCTGATGTCTCTGTGTCCAAACACTTTCTGACCCCCTTCTGTCATTTTTCTGTCCTGTTTGCGGCTGGCTGCTGATATCAGTGCCAGTATGGTAACTGAGTCTCAGTATCAAGACCTAAACAAAGTTGTTGTCTCTATATCTTCAACCAAAGATGTCAATTTTTTCTGTTCATCAGTGTCGAAACAAAGCAGACAAACAGGAAGTTTATCAAAATCTGTCTAAACTAGGATAGTAAATACATATCCCGAGACAGTGAGATTGCAATACAAATATGTGAAGATTCAAATCAATGAGATTAAAAATGAATCATGATATCAACCTTGTTATCAGCAGAGATCAGTTTCACCTCAGAAATAAAAAAAGATTCTATAATTTGATAAAGAAAATACATTTTATAGATTTTTGTCTTAATTTAATCATTTGTCTCCAATCGCATTTTGTTAAATATTGTATAGTAAACCCAGTATCATATATGTATTGAATAGTGATTATTCTTTTCAAGGTCCATTGTGTGTTTCATTAGTGTAAAATCACCTGAAAATAAGAATCTTTGTGTGTTACCTTAGAAGGAGACATTTTTATCTACAGAGGGAGCAGGTCTTCTTCCACAGAGGCCTTTCTAACCCCCATGTTTCTACAGTCACCCAGAACAGACAGACAATCACCTGCTCTAGATACAGTTGTTTTTCACAAGTTTCACAGCCATCGTGGTTTCTCCTGCAGACTTGGAAGACAGAGCTGATTTAAAATGGTTGCAATCAAACATCACCACTAGATGCCACCAAATCCTACACACTGGTCCTTTAAGTTAGTTGTCAAGCTAAAATGTCAAACTTCCTCTGACTTCAGCTTCCCCTTTCTTCTTCCTATGTGTGGGCTCTATTATGGACAAAAAAGTAAAATTATTAATTAAATCAGTAGTAAAATAATCTGCAGTTGCAGCCCTACTTCACAGTTATTGATACCCGATTGGACTGAGCCCTCCTGTGTGCTCCCTCTTTCTCACATGTCTCTCTCTTCTTGTTTGCAGCTGATGGTGGTGAAACAGGAAGACAGAACCGAGCTGATATTCAGGCACTTCTTGGTCGAGGACAAGAGCGCCAGCGGGGGAGCGTCATACGTGGACTTCTTGTGTCACATGCACAAGGAGATCCGCCAGCTTCTCAGCTAGGCCTACAAAGTCCCACCTTCACCTGTATGATCCCCCTCCGCCCCACCCTCACCTCCCCTTTTCACCCTTCCTTGTGAAAGAAAGCGCTTTATCTTTTTTTTTTTTTTAAACCTAATAAACTAAAGCTCTCCTCGCTGTCTGTCAGCTGAGCATCAGAGACCGGCTGGCAGATTTCGTTGTGTGTGTGTGTTAGTGCAAGTGTGTGTATGAGCGAGAGAGCGAGAGAGAGAGAGAGAGTCTGATGTTAATAGAGCTTTACTCTGCCTCAAATCTGCTGCTCCAACACAGCAGGAGCGAAATAACTGACGAGGGAGGGTAATGTATATATACAAGTGAACAATTATGTATGCAACAGACTGAGTGAGTGTCGGAGACGGCTGATGTTGACTGTAGTCGGTGAACTGTCTGTATTACTAGCACTGAAAAGGCTGTTTCGGGTAAATAAACGACCCTCGGATAGCAAACACTTTTTATATGATTGATTCCCAATAGAGTGAAGGACATCTACGTACCAAGACATAAATGGAATGAATAAATGCTGTTTTTTTTCTGTCTCTTCTCTCCTTTTAATCATGGCCTTAGTACCCCCTTCCCATGCTGTGTGTGTTTCCAGATGTGAGAGGATTAGTTACCCACTGCCCGATTCTTTTTTTCCCGGTATGTCTCCAGATGTGAGCAACTGAATTTAAGCCTAGATTTAAAGGCTCAAACTGGAGCCTGATGACCTTTCGCCCACAGAAAGCATTAAAGAAGCATGTTGAAATGAAAAATCTGGGTTTGAGTTCACAAGTAAACTGAAAATAAAGCTCTGCTGTGACTGATAACCAGTCATTAGAGCAATTGGAACAATCCAGATTCGGTTGATTGCGTTACTGATGCAAACATCCGCTCAGATTTTTGTTCACTGATGAACCAGATGTTGTGATTCTGTTATGAGAGGAAGCTTTCATTAGTTCAAAGTCTATGCAGCAAAGAGAAAAGGGCCAGACACACAATGAAGAACAAAAGCAATCGACGACAGGTGTGAAATTTTGATCTCGGCAGCACAGCGACGGGGGAAATCCCCCCTCCCCCCTTGTGGTTAGTTTCTGTCTGTTGATGACATGTAGTGCTGCAGACTTTATATCAGTTTTGGTGTCCAAAATTGTTTAAAAAAAAAAAAAAGCAATTTCCAGCAGACAGAAATGAGCACAGAATGACAACGGATAAATGGACATCAGTTAATGTTCGCAAACTCTCGAGTTGTCTCCGCACTGACGATGTTCAGTCAGTGTGTAAATACAAATATATAATCTGTACAGAATTAATAGAAAATAACAATTTTAAAGACCTGCCTGAACAGCTGTGGTTTGTTGATGGTTGATTTCTCTGTCACAAATAGCCTGAATATAAAATCAGGGCTTTTACTGAAGAGAGGAAGACCTTGACTGGCTTTTTTGATATGTTTGTGTGCGTGTGAGCGAGTGAGTGCGAGGTGTGAGAGTGTGTTTGTATGTGTGTGTGTGTGTGTGTGTGTGAATGTGGGGTCGGTCCTGGTGAATTTCTCCTGAGGAACAGAGGGATCAGCCAACACACATATACACACACACACACACACACTACCCATGAGATTAAATTCAGTCTTCTTCATTTATCACTTTCTGTTCCTTTTTTAACAATGTGACTTTTGTGTTTTGTTTGGTGTGTGTGCAGCCCTCTGTTCCGTCTTTATGTTCACTGACTTTAATTAGCCCACCGTCTTGACTGTAATCTTAATTTCTGTTCCTTTTTTTTCTTTGATTTTTTTTTTTCATTGCCTCTTGGGACTGCTAATAAAATGATTGTTGAAAGTGAAATTCCCCCAGTTTGCTTCTCCCTTTTCTAGCTTTACCACAAATTATACCAATATATATTTTCAATTTAATCAAAGCTCATTCTGTTCGTATTGCTGTACACATGGTGTCTATATATACAATCACTGTATAGACAGTTTTTACTGTTTTTTTTTTTTCTAAATTACAAAACTGTCTTCACTTCCTCTTCGTGTCTAGACCAGTATCCTTATGCGACTTCTATTCACTATTAATCATTACGTAAACGACCCCTGACTAAGTGACATATTTATGAATATTTCATATTATATTAAATGCATAACAACTAATAAACTGTACAATTAACCCATTTGTGAACACAAAAACACACAATTTTGATGAATGTTGAGCAGATTATTTCCTATAATATTACATCAGATCTGACATTATTATATAATTGTGTGATTTCTTCTGACGTTTGGTTATTGTTCTACTGGCTCTGGTTGCTTCACTGCATACTTTTATACTTTAGGACGAGGCTGTTTGGCGGAGAGTGAAAGCTCTTTCAATAAGACTCGTGTTCAGGTCTTCACGGTTCCCTTATCCTGTTTGATTGTTTAGGAAGTTTATATCTTAAATAATAATCCAAAACAACAATTTAATTTAGATTTCTTCACAGAAATTTATGAAATTCTGAGATATAATTTAAAAAAGGTTTTCTTACACCTCTTAAAATCAAGAAGGCCCTGCGACCCTCTGTGAAGCTTTGGCAACCCCTAGCGGGGGTCGGGACCCCCTGGTTAGGAATCAGTGATCTAGACATTCAGATACAATTACAAAATGTTCTGTGGATCCTTCAGAGTGACATCAACAACTTCTGGAGAGGGAATTATTTAACTTTTTTCCACCAGTTAGTTTATTAACTTACTTATTCTGCTGTAAAAGGTCCCACCCATTGACAGTATATATAAGGTCCCACCCATTGACAGTATATATAAGGTCCCACCCATTGACAGTATATATAAGGTCCCACCCAATACATATTTTTCAATTCTTTAAAAACAAGTTTACAGCCATGCTAGCTGCGATGCTATTTTCTGCATGTAAATATGCTTACGTCTTAGTGTGGTGTGTTAGGATACTAACATTCGCTAATAAACACGAAGGGTGTGATTGATCAGACTCAAGTTTATTGCCTAGTAGGTTTTCACATTTAAGGAATTGTAAGACAATAGGTGGAAAGAAAAAAAACAGGCACTGCAAAAATAGAAATTTACAGTAAAAAATTAAAACATCTAAACAATGTTATTAGTTTTAATTAGTTATTAGTTTGCATTTAATTGCAATCCATAAAACAGTTGTTGAGACGCATCCTCTTCTATGGAGTCCTCCATGTTGAACTGCCATGTTTCTACTGTAGCCCTGAATGGACAAACCAAACACTGACTCTATATAAGCCCTTTTTTTTGGTGAGTTTTGTGGCCACCGTAGTTTCTTCATGCTTGAAAAGGGAGGGTGAGGCGAGAGTTTTGTAATCTGCACCTGTACTGCTAGATGCAACTAAATCCTACACACTGATCCTTTTAGTTTATGGCTCAAGAGCAGGGAGAAAGAGAATACTACATTTAGCACAAGTACACAGTAGAGTCCACCCAGCCGAGCCAAAACCCCGGGTAGACAGGCTCAGTGAAGGTGGTGTGGAAGGTGTGGAGGAGGGTCAGTGCACCACAGGAGACCCTGTAGAAGGACAGTGTCCCCGCTGCCCAGTCCAGATAGACTCCTACCTTATTGGAGCTGGGTGGGATGGTTAAACTGGTGCTCATGCCGTTGTGCCAGGTCTTGTAGCAATCTTTGTTGCAGTTTAGTCCCCAGGACGAGTCATTTTTGCCCAACCAGCTGTCGTGATCCTTTCCCTTCCTACACATCCTTCTGTAGGCTACTCCTATGAAAGCTCTCCCACACCATTCTGTCTCCCAGTAGCAGCGCCCGGTCAGTCCCTCCACGCACAACACCTGCGTCCAGAAATCGAACCTTTCCGGGTGATCAGGAAATGGCTGCTTAATCCAGCGCAGCGCTTTCCTGTTTCCCTCGGAGAGAGAAAGATCTGCGTGTGCTGTGTTTGGGTCCAGAGTGAGTTTTTTGGTATCTGATGAAACAAATCGAGAATGTCAGTCAGTATTAAACATTGCTTAACATTGTCTTGCTTTTAGAAGGAAATAGAGAAGTCCTGAGTGCTGGTTACTCACATTTCTTTGGACCTGGCTGAATCCTGGATTCACCACACTCTTCCACACTAAAACATAACAGAAGACCACAGTTTTCTCACACTTATATCATTAATACGTTCAGAAGAGTACTCCACAAATTAAGCGTTTCACTCCTATAACATTTTCAGCCTCCTGATTTAAAAAAATATATATCTTATGGTATTATTACCACAGACATTCACCATCATCAATACATCTATGATAAGCTATTTTCTAGTCAATACCTGAGTTTCAGCAGGCTGCATTGTGGGTCGTCCCGCAGAGCAGACAGCAGCTCCTGGCCTGAGTTCCCTGGGTGGTTGTAGCTCAGGTCAAGCTCTCTCAGACTGGATGAGTTCAAAGCGGATGCCAGGAAAGTGCAGCTTTCCTCTGTCAGTCTGCACAGGGACAGCCTTCAAAACAGACACCAAGACATTTCATCCAACTGATCTTCATGACAACGGCAGCAACAACCACATTTGCATGCTTGGCGCTGTGTTGTATTCTGCTGTTAAATAATTCATCTGGAATGGAATTTCACTCAGGGCACTCACATGAGTATTTCCAGTTTACAGTTAGGACTCCCCAGTCCACCACAGAGCTTTCTGACTCCTACATCCTCCAAATCATTGTCAGAGAGGTCCAGTACTTTCAGCTGGCAGGAGGCTGAGCTGATAACTGAGGCCAGGACATCACAGCTGTGCTCTGTTAGGTTGCAGCTCCTCAGTCTGGACAAACAAAAAATACAGAAAACGCTAAAAAACCACTTGCTTATAATTCGTAAAATCTTTATTTCATTTGGAAAAAAAGAAGGAAACTTGTTGGATATTGACCTGAGTGTCTCCAGTTTGCTGTTCTTCAGTCCACCCAAGAGCCGTATTATTCCTGCATCTGTCAGGTTGTTGTTGCCCAGGTCCAGCTCTCTAAGTTGGGATGAGCTGATTTCATTCGCCAGGTTTTCACAGCAGGTCACAGTGAGATTACATCCATTTAGACTGCAGTAGGAAAAGCAGCAGGAGAAAGGTTATAAATGTCATAAAGAAAAGTCCCATTCTGTTGAGATTTGACATTTTCTATTCTGTTCATACTCTCTATTCATATTGTACTGCATATTATTGAGCCCTGCTTGGAATATGATTATGATAATGATATGAGGTAGCTATAGTCTCAAGCAAACTGTAATGTGAAACCTAACATCAGGCAAATTGAAAATGTATAACCACACAAACATTAGAATGCAAAGTTACCGAGAATTGTATTAATGGATTTTTGGCCACTTGGGGCACCTTTTAAGTTGATATGGTTACCTTGTTAGCAAACTGTTCAGGAGACACAGTAATGTTTGTGTTTCTACCTTCATGGTCATTCCAATATTCACTCTCTTTAAGCTCTGTTTTTGGTCTCCTGAGGGAAATATCTGGCTCTGAAATATCTGCCAAATGCTCAACTACATTCACCCCATGATCACTAACTTTGTTTATCTACCATTTGGTGCTCGGCAGGTAGTGTAAAGTGAGCGCTTTTTGCTAAAAACAGCTGCCTGTTGCGGCTGAAAACCGGATCTGGGGAACTGCTGCATCGGATGATAATTATCTGAGGGTTTGTTACTGCAAGCGACTTTTCACATTACACAGTTATTTGATTCATTGTCAATTTGAAAATAGTCATTATAGCCACTCTAATTTGCACATATGAATCTTTTTACACTGTTATATAAACTGCACCCAAACAAATAATCTTGCTTGCGCTGCCAAAAAGTGCTCAACCCATGCTCTTTCCATACCTTGCAAGTGTCTCAAGTACAACAGACCACACCCTCTGGGTTTTTAAAGTTTATTTTTTTATACCAGAAATAATCTTAGCACTAAAGCTGACTATCTTTAACTTAAATGCATGAAGAAAAAATGTAAATCTTGCTGTCTGCTTTTAAAAAGAAAAGCACTTACTTTGCCACTTGGGCGGTTTTCAAGACAGGCATCAGTTGCCGAAGACCTTCCTCTGACCGCGTGTAGTTGCTCAGTACAAACACACTCAGCTCTTCTTCTGATGTCAGCAGTACAAAGACCAGAGTGGCCCACTGGGCAGGTGAAAGATTGACTTTGGTCAGACTGCCAGAGCTGAGGTAGCTCTGAATCTCATCCACAAGAGAGCGGTCGTTCAGCTCATTCAGACAGTGAAAGAGATTGAGGCATCTGTCTGGGGATGGACTTGCCCTGATCTTCTCCTTTATGTGTTTAATGATCTCGGTCCTCGTCTTTTGGTTTGTTCTTTTGCTGGTCATTAGATGTTTCAACAGAGTCTGGTTGGATTCCAGAGAAAGGCCCAAAAGGAAGCGCAGAAAGATGTCCAAATGTCCATTTTCACACCGCAAAGCCTTTTCTACTGCTTCCTTGTACAGGATGAGCTCTGATGAATCTCTGAATGGGAAACGTCTCGACGCGGACGACTTCTTGATCAAGGCGTTGAAGTTGTCGTTGTTGAATTTGAGGTAGACATACAGCGCAGCAAAGAATTCCTGGATGCTCAGATGGACAAAACAGAACATCTTCTCCTCGCACACCGTCAGCTCCTCGTTGAAGATCTGTGTGTAGATTCCTGAGAACATGGACGCCTGCTTGACTTTTATACCATTCAGGATGAGGTCGCTCTCATAGAAGATCAAGTGGCCCTTCTCGAGCTCTTTGAAGGCCAGTTCACCCAGCGACATGAGGTTATCTCTCAAGCAGTCAGTGTTTGACTCTCTTCTTCCATTCATCCTTTTCTTCATGTCGTCCACAAACAAGGACAAGAAGTGTATGTACATTTGAGTGAGGGTCTTTGGCGTGTCTTTACTGTCCGTCGTCGCAAACTTCTTCTCAAGAACACTCGCCGCCATCCAGCAGAAGACCGGTATGTGGCACATGATGTGAAGACTCCTGCAGGATTTCACATGTGCGATTACCCTGTTCGCTAAGTTCTCATCGCTGATTTTCTTCTTGAAGTATTCGTCTTTCTGGGGGTTGTTGAACCCTCGCACCTCTGTCACTAGATTAATATACTCCAGAGGGATCTGACAGGAGGCTACCGGGCGAGAGGTTATCCAAACAAGAGCCAAAGGAAGCAGTTTTCCCCTGATGAGGTTGATCAGAAGCACAGCAATCGTGGTTTCCTGTGTCACATCAGACATTACTTCACTTTTGTTGAAGTCCAAAGACAGGCGGCTCTCGTCCAGACCATCCAGGATGAAAAGCATTTTGTATTTATCATTAAGAAAGATTCCTGTTTCTTTTGTTTCAGGGAAAAAGACACTGAGAAGTTTGACAAGACTAAAGGTTTTCTTTTTCATCAGATTCAGCTCTCGGAAAGAGAGAGGAAATACAAATTCCAGGTTGGTGTTTTCTCTCTCCTCAGCCCAGTCTAGAGTGAATTTATTGACGGATACGGTTTTTCCAATGCCAGCGACTCCCCTTGTGATGACAGTTCTTACATGGTAGTCTTGTCCCCGTAGAGGAACAAAGAGGTGATTGCAGTGGATGGATTTCTCCTGAGCATGTATCCTGGATGCCATCTCAATCTGTCTCACCTCATGCTCCTTATTGACTTCACAACTTCCTCCCTCAGTGATGTAGAGCTCTGTGTAGATCTTATTGAGAGATGTCTTATCTGCTTTGTTTGTCATCCCCTCGAGCAAGTGACTGAACTTCCTCTTCAGAGCAGCTTTCAGTTTTTGTTGACATCCGGCGATCCTTTCATCTGAATAACAAAATGCGTTTAAAGTTTATTTTGGAATTTGTGTCAATGTGTCAAACACCTACATACAGTAAAGTCATTGGCAGTAAGTACTCACTTTGGGGCTGCAGTATGCCACAGCCATCTGCTGTGTCATGGTTTAATGCGTCTTTAGACCCTGCAAAAGAAGAAAAAGATCAGCAGAGCTCAAACCCCATTTTCAGTTACCCCCCTGGCATGATTATCTACCTCGGTCTGTTGAGATGTTGATGTTTATGACGCCAGCGTTACAACCAACGAGGGTGGGAGCGATCACATTGCCTCCAGTCTGAGCAGTGTAGCTGGGATGTAAATGATGAACTGGAGCCTGAATAGAGGAAACTGAGAAACCATAAAATTTAATTTCAGCAGTTTGTCACAAAAATACAGTGTAGTGAAAGACCACTGGAACCAAATGAGATTGAGACACATCTGGTGCTTTTTAGGTCATGAATTCAACTGTTTTTCACCCAAATATTATATTTACACTGTTCTCTTCACAACTTGTAGCACTGGGTCTAATTTTTTGCCATAAGAACTTGAGATCCTTACCTTGAGAGGACTTGTCCGTTATATCAGCAACACTCTTTTGCTCCATGTTTTTCTCATCAGCTCCCTTGTAGCTGCAGCCTACATGATTTCTACACAGCTCCAGTCATATTACTTCCAGTGGATCATATAACTGGTCCACTAAACTACATTTAAAAACAAAAACATTTTCAGATATATAATGACTATGTTTAATCAGGGCTAATATTAAAATCCAACAGATTAAAAGTTCAAGGAAATTCTTACCTACTTCAATCACAGTTGAACTCTGCGATTGTTCACACTGAGAGTGACTGAGGGGTATTTTCACAGACACATAAGAAAATGTCTGCTTCCTGGGTGATGGTGAAGAAAACAGGAAGCTGGTGCTTTTTCTCTGCACAGTCTAGCATTATGTAAAGGCTTCTTCAAAAACGCAGCTCTTAAAACAGTTTCATTTTCTACAAAATGAACTTCAGTTTAAAAAAAATCTGCAGCAACATGTTTAATGAGCTGTATTGGTCAATTATACATTGATCTTGTTAGCAGAAAGATTTGGCATTTCTTGTAAACTTTTAAAGATATCAGGATTTCACATTAACAAACACAATTACTGGAGAATTTTTAAATCATGTAACATTTTATTGATTTATTTATTTAACATGCAAATCAAACATTTTTACAGACATTTAAAATCATTTAACATTTGTAAATATAAAAAGCACCCAAAACCTGATAGGCATTTTAAGATAAACCAATATTCCTCATTTAGAATCAGTTCATTAGGAAACAAACTAAGAGTTTTCTAGACAGACCAATATCACTAGAGTGGCTAAAAACAAATAAGTAGCTACCACCTACAGCATTTAAGTGATTGAAATATACAAATGAAGCCTTCTGGAGCATTTTGAGATAAGAATACAGTGAGAGGACAAACCTCAAGTTTTTGCCTGTACAAGTGATTCACATGCAGATAAAACAAATTATTTAAGGAAAGTTAAATGTGTTTTTTTTTTTTGTTTTTTGTTTTTCAAAGACACCCGTATATATATATATATTGTTGGTGATTACATTGCCAATTTCAAGTATACAAACTTGAGTATTCAAACTGATCACTAGATGGAGTACTTGGAAGGAACATAAAACCAAACAAAAACAAGCTAAAGTTTACTGCCTATTTCGGTTTACACACAGGGGTATGAAGATACATCAAGGGTTAATACACTTCTTAACTGTTTCCTTTTTTTATACGAACGTGCATTTTACTGATTTTACAAGATAGCTTAGGTTAATTTGTAAAATGTGTGACAACATTAGGATGAATTAAAGGTGTAAATGTAATATTTGCTCACTAGAAGGTTGTTTCTTATTGTTTTATTTGTGATCACAGTGTTGAACTGGAGTTAGTCACAGTAACCAAATGAAGATGGACAGTTATCTGTTTGAGTGGTCATATGTAATTCAAGTACAAGTGAAGACTAAGGACATTGTGACTACCCACTCCACCCTGTCTTCCTGTTCCTGTTTGTGTGGTTGTTTCCTGTGCAGGTACTTTAAGTGGGCATGGTAGAGGGTCGTCAGTAAACTGGCCACACCTGAGGCCTGTGTGCCATGCTCCTTTAAAACCCTCTGAGAGCTCAGTACTGGCTCTCGCTCCTCCATGAGACAACCATTTGGTTTTTGGGTTTGATGGGTTTAATGTGTTGCTGCATCTTAATACAACACAGGACTCATACACTTCTCCACTCATACACTCAGTTACACCACTGATCCTACTGATTTCACATACTGTTAGTTTAGTTTAATTATTTTCCTTAACAAATCATTTGTTAATTGGCTTTGTTGTGTGCATTTCCCTCCCTTTGTCATGGCCGTATAGCCCAGTTTGTGACAACATTTATAGACATTTATATTGTTTCCATCATGGTGCTTCAGTTTCATACATATTCTATACTTGTATTTACATATCGTTGCTAAAACTTGAGCGAAAAAACACAGTTCTTTGCAAAGGGTCAGTACACAAAAGTCCATTCAGGGCAGGCAAACAAATCCAAAAGGATCAAAAGCAAAGGCAGAATCAAAAGGTGGCAACTTATCAGAGAAAGGTGCAGGGAGGGAATCTGCAGCAGGTGTCTGGATTGCACCTTCATGAGATTCATCAGATTCAATATATCTATAATGACTAGGGCGGTGATTCTACGTCGTCAGACTCACAGGGCTCTGGAGATCGGTGGCTTACTAACTGGGCTACAAATCAAACAGTACAAAGTACAAAACAAAAACAATTAAATGGTGACTTTCATGACTAAAGACAAAATATGTAATAATTCAGAGCTTAATGTGTCCCAAAAACTTACCATCTTTAATATTGCTCAAAACGCTCTCCAAGACTCTGACCTGAAGGTTTTCCACATGCTTGGATTCATTTATCAGGACTTGTGGAAGTTGCTGTGGATCTGGCAGTGCTTTCTGAGTTCTGGAACAAATTCAAGAGATTCAGGGATAGGTTCATTCTTTTGAAAAGGAAAATCATACTCACATGTACAGTGGCCAACACTGGCAAAAGAAGCCCAAAACATTTCCATTAGGAGAAGCTTCGGAAACGATGCCAATTCAAGAACACGTGAAAATCCCAAACATATACAACAATAGAAGCTTTAAATGAAAAAAATGTGCTGCAGAAAGCCAAAACAAACACTTTGAAAGTAGATACACTGTAAATTCAGAAACAAAGCAAAATCAAAAACACACAAACCCTGAAAACAAATCCAACAGGACAACACTGAATATCCAGCAAACACAATGGGAGTTTGCATTGGTGTCGCATCTAAAATTTGCCTTGTGGTTTTTCTGAACTCACCTCAGGAGACTGGGGACAAAATCTGCAGTCCTCATACTATGCAGAATTTAATTCTAAATTTGAGTAGAAAGCTACTATGAGGAGGTATTAGCTGATATTTACCTTACTGACATAAACCTATCAGCAAATGGGATGGTATTCACCAGTATCTGCTCTCATTGGCTGCGCTGTTTTGATTCATCCGGAAACAGGAAACAATGGCGGCTCGCCTGGTCACACACAGCTAAACAGTGCACTAAAATATGTTTCTGAAACTATTTTAAGCAAGAAATAGAAATCTTGCATCATATTTGATCTGCACTGCCTAGTTTGACAGTCTGATCTGAGTTTCGTTCACTGTGCTGGACGGACTCACTGAGAGTGACCTGTCAATCATAAGGTAGCCAATACCCAAAGGCACACGTGGCTTTATCATCTATTTTACTCTAAATTGGAGCATAATTTAGTAAATGATCATAATGTAAGGAAAAAGACTTTGAACTAGAGATTGAGACTATAAACTCGTTAGGAAACTGTTTACTGAGGTAGTAAATCAAGTGAGAAGTCAGCTCATTCTCCATTAGAGTGAATGGTATCTGCCTTTTATTGCAGCCAATGGAGCTCCCCCTGCTGGCCTTCACATAAAATGCAGGTTTTGAGACACTTCCACATTGGCTTCACTGTGCAGACCTGGTATCTCTGTCCATTATATATACAGTCAATGGTCTCAAATCTCGGATGAGAAAATATAGACTGAGCTAGCAAGCTAACAAGGCATAGATGTTCATCTTTGTAGATTTCCTTGTTTGCCAGGACAAAAAGGGGAACAAATAAAACATCGGTGTTGGCCTAGAATTTCACAATCAGTGCATCCATATCTAGAATCCCTTACTTTAATCCTTTAATAACCTTACAGACGGGCTCAGACAAACAAGAAAAGAAGATAGTCTAGAAGATAATACACACCTTTCCATTTTCATCTTGTAGGGCTGAAAATAAAACAAAAAATGCATCAGCAGCTTTCAGATTTGAACTGAATTAGACCTTTCTTGAGTTTTAATAATTACCTGTATGAACGGTTTTTCAACCCCCAAGTCTTCCATCTCTTTCACAGTGTCAGAGAGCGACAAAGTGTTTCTGCTCATCTCTGTGATCAGCTTCATCATACGAATCTTCTGAGTCTTTTCTTCTCTTAATGCAGCTAGTTTGGTTTCTTCCTCTGTCCAGAGGAAGGCGTGCAGCTTCTTAAAGTCGTTCTTAATCTTCTGCTTTATGTTGCAGCTCTGCGCCTGTAGATCACAGTAAGAACAGATCATCCTTTTTATGTCTTAATGTATTGAAGATTTGACTGGAAAATTCAAAATGTGTACAACTGCTGACAAACCTTAATGTCCTCAACAGATGTATCACACGATTGTTTGACTTTTTCAAAAGCCTCCTTCTTCTCTTTGATCTTCCTGGAATGAGTCTGAAATAGAAATATCACTTGAATTTGTCAAAGATAAAAAACCTGTGTATTGGAACTATTATATTGGTCAATCAGTAATACCATTGGAATTTTTAGGAGTGACAATGTAAACTTTCCAAAATCCCTGGATGAGATATTTTTTGCTTCATCAAAAAGATTCATGATCACTAATGACTGTTAGAGGGCTGAATAAAATTGTCTATGCCCAAAACTGTGATGACACCTCCCACTCTGGTTGTTGTGTGTTTTTTTTCCCTTTGTTGTTTGCAGGAGACAGAGTGGCAGGGGTGTGGCTAGTGGATGAGCCACACCTGATTCCTCCCTGATTACAAGGCTTTATGGGGTGTTGAGTCAGTTAGTTGTCGCTCTCTCTCCTTCCAGCCAGCAGGTCCTGGGTTTCTTGGTGTTTTTGGTTTGTTAAATCCCATTACCCTTTTCCATACACAACATTTCACCCATATCCACATACACACTCTCACTACACTACTGACCACACTGATGTACGTATATATTTTTAATACTTGTTTAGAGTAAATATGGGTTAAATAAAAAAAAAAATGTATAACCACCTTTATCTGTGTGGCCTTCCATGATTTGTGTGAGTCGATCTTAATCGTCTTTATCTTGTTGCTCTGAACCTGTAGATCACAGTAAGAACGGATCATCATCTTCATGTCTTAATGTTTTGAAGATTTGACTGAACAAATTCAAAATATGTGTACAACTGATGACAAACCTTAATGTCTGCAACATATTTTTTGCACAATTGTTCTTTTTCAAAAGGCTCCTGCTGAAGCAGGACACTTGTCGTTGAAGGAATCTGAAATAAAAATATCACTTGAATTTCTCAAGATAAAAAACCTGTATAGTGGAACTATTATATTGGTCAATCAGCAATACCATTGGAATTTTCAAATGAGATATTTTTTGCTTCATCAAAAAGACTCATGATCACTAATGACTGTTAGAGGGCTGAATAAAATTGTCTATGCACAAAAATAAAATAAAATTAGCTTAAAACTAACACTGTTAAATATTTCTAGCCACAACACGACATGTTATGTTACACAATTGTCTTTCATTCATTTGAAAAACATCTGCTGTTTTTCTGAATTAACGTCTCATTATGTCATAATTATGAGATACTCTTTCATGCCAAAAATCGCCTTCAGTAACAACTGTGAGCGAGTGCTCATAAGTAGAGAGGTATTTTCACATATATAGGAAACTGTCTCACTTCCTTTCTGGGTGATTCTGTAAAACAGAAAGCTGGTGTTTTTTGCCTGCAGAGTCAAGTATAATTTAAAGGCTTCTTGAATAAACAACAGGTCTTAAAATAAATTAACCATTGTTAACCGAATGGTTTGGTATCAAATAAAAAAACTCTCATTAACCTTACCTGATGAGGACCTGATAGTTCAACTCCATTTCTCTCATTGTAGTTTTCACACAAATTCTTCAAAGTAAAATTAGTCTGAGGTTCAGTGTCAGTAACTTGTTGACACAGTGGGCATGTCCGAGAGATTCTCTTCTCCCAGTGTTTGTGCACACAGCTCCTGCAGAAGCTGTGCCCGCACTGCAGCATCACAGGATGAGTGAAAATGGAGAAGCAAACTGAACAAGAAAGATCCTTACTGTCGATCCACCCTCCATCTTTCTGTCTCTTTCTGACAGTGGACACCGGCTCATGTAATTGCTGTTCCGTGTCTCTGTCTGTTTTGGCTGCAAATTAAAGTTATTAAGAAATATTACTGCAATAAATCAGTCACAGGGTCCTCAATGGGAATTATAATATATATAATTATATATGGAAACATTCATTCTCTTTCTGCCTCAGCAACAGTTACAGAGAGTGGAAATTAGAAATTGCTTGTCCCAACAACACAATAAATGAATGTATATGAATGTATAAAAAAATGTGTGTTCTCTACATATCTATTATCCATAAAAAATATGTAGACCATGGATGTATAAAGCAGGCCCTGCTCATAGGTTGCCAAACAGGAAGGAACACATATTTAGACATTTTACCTTGAGTTAACTTAATTGCAAGGTCATTCAGATTCATCCTAAAGAAAATGTCCACTGTCGTCACCACAGCTTTTTCTTCCCCATAAACTTCCACCAGTTTATCCACAGTTTGTTCTCTGGTCAGCTGGGCCTTTGGGATGGGTCTCCTTCCATCTCTTCTATTATGGCCCAAGTACCACTGAAACGTGTTCAGCTGTTCATCATCCAGCTCATCCAGGTAATGTTTCAGGAATTTTTCAATTCGCTCAAATGTAGCCATGTTTAACTTTTAGCAAGTTCCCAGGATGTCAAACTATCAGTTGAGGAACTTCTCTAGAGCTGTGAACTGACTGTGAAAAGAAAGAAGTTAGATTTAGTTTATGGAATAAAGTCAAATACATTTACACGTCAAGAGCCTCAACCTCATTGCTGACGGAGAGCAGCCTTGTGCCAGATCCGTTTCAGAGTCGTACATTTGGACAGATGTACATGAGACAAAGACTTTCCTGTACAGTTACAGGGATTTACTTCCAGTGGATCAAACAACTGGTCCACCCATCAGGATAATATTAAAATCCAACAGAGTAAAAGTTGAAGGAAATGCTTACCTATTTCGATAACAACCCTTGTCTCCTGATTCACACACTGGGAGCAACTGCTCATAAGCAGAAAGGTATTTTCACTGATATAAAAAACGTTTTCTTGCTTCTGTTTTATTCTGATGCTGAGAAACAGGAAGTTCGTGTTTCTTGTCAGCACAGCCAGGCTTCATTGTGGTTTTCGTACTACGTGACTGATCAATAACATGGGCTCACATACAACTTCCACAACCAGTCTGACTGGTCCAAACTATGTTTCATCAGGAGTCATTTATAACACCATTAATAACATCACAACATGTTTAATGTTGTAATCATGTCATCAATACACACATTATTTAACCATTTTTCAAATTTATAACTAACAGCATCGACATCAGTGTGTGACCCGCTGCTGCTGATCAGTCACGTAGTGTGAAAACCACAACACCTTCAAGATCACGTAATGTGATCATGGCTTTAAGCACAAGTTCCTGTTTTGTCTGGGCCGTGACCCCAGTTCCTGGTGTCGAAAGGAGACTAAAACCTAGAGTCTTTGACTTTTTACAAAATAACTTTTCCATTACACCTCGTGCATAGCTTTAGTTGTATTTTCCCACTACACGACTCCTTCCTTTGAATATAACGTGCTCAGGCAATAAGAGGAAAATCAAGTGCCTTAAATACACAATATTCATGAATAAGAGAAAACATAATGTGAAAATCAAAAAAGTGTTAAATATAAGTCCTGGTGAATAATCATTCCTGTTAATGCTGCATACACATTAAAATGAGGTGTTAAGCAAGCTAAAATATAAAATAGGACAAAATACAAAGAAAACTCAAGCACATGAAATTTCCACATCCTCATCATGATATGGTGGAATCCGATCCAAGTTGGCTTGAGGAAAGGACCCCTTTAGTTCCCGAGATACAAAAAGGGTCACTGCAAAAGTAGTTTTCAAGATCACATACTGTGATCATGGCTTAAAGCCTGATATCTTTAACATGAAAAACTGTTTTTTTGTCTTAAATTGATGCCAAATTATTCTGATAATAAAATCAATGTTTAATTTGCCAATACACATTTATTTGCTCTTTAAGTTAAAGTTTATAAAAACATATTGAATTGTGTTTTATTGGCCCTACAGCGACCACACACAGGCCATTTGGCACTGGCAATATCACCACATTACATCATCACAATATCAGTAAATAAAACTACTTTTGCAGTGACCCTTTTTGTATCTCGGGAACTAAAGGGGTGATGAGGATGTGGAAATTTCATGTGCTTGAGTTTTCTTTGTATTTTGTCCTATTTTATATTTTAGCTTGCTTAACACCTCATTTTAATGTGTATGCAGCATTAACAGGAATGATTATTCACCAGGACTTATATTTAACACTTTTTTAATTTTCACATTATGTTTTCTCTTATTCATGAATATTGTGTATTTAAGGCACTTGATTTTCCTCTTATTGCCTGAGCACGTTATATTCAAAGGAAGGAGTCGTGTAGTGGGAAAATACAACTAAAGCTATGCACGAGGTGTAATGGAAAAGTTATTTTTTTAAAAGTCAAAGACTCTAGGTTTTAGTCTCCTTTCGACACCAGGAACTGGGGTCACGGCCCAGACAAAACAGGAACTTGTGCTTAAAGCCATGATCACATTACGTGATCTTGAAGGTGTTGTGGTTTTCACACTACGTGACTGATCAGCAGCAGCGGGTCACACACTGATGTCGATGCTGTTAGTTATAAATTTGAAAAATGGTTAAATAATGTGTGTATTGATGACATGATTACAACATTAAACATGTTGTGATGTTATTAATGGTGTTATAAATGACTCCTGATGAAACATAGTTTGGACCAGTCAGACTGGTTGTGGAAGTTGTATGTGAGCCCATGTTATTGATCAGTCACGTAGTATGAAAACCACAATGAAGCCTGGCTGTGCTGACAAGAAACACGAACTTCCTGTTTCTCAGCATCAGAATAAAACAGAAGCAAGAAAACGTTTTTTATATCAGTGAAAATACCTTTCTGCTTATGAGAAGTTGCTCAGTGTGTGAATCAGGAGACAAGGGTTGTTAACGAAATAGGTAAGCATTTCCTTCAACTTTTACTCTGTTGGATTTTAATATTAGCCTGATGGGTGGACCAGTTGTTTGATCCACTGGAAGTAAATCCCTGTAACTGTACAGGAAAGTCTTTGTCTCATGTACATCTGTCCAAATGTACGACTCTGAAACGGATCTGGCACAAGGCTGCTCTCCGTCAGCAATGAGGTTGAGGCTCTTGACGTGTAAATGTATTTGACTTTATTCCATAAACTAAATCTAACTTCTTTCTTTTCACAGTCAGTTCACAGCTCTAGAGAAGTTCCTCAACTGATAGTTTGACATCCTGTGAACTTGCTAAAAGTTAAACATGGCTACATTTGAGCGAATCGAAAAATTGCTGAAACATTACCTGGATGAGCTGGATGAGGAACAGCTGAAGACGTTTCAGTGGTACTTGGGCCATAATAGAAGAGATGGAAGGAGACCCATCCCAAAGGCCCAGCTGACCAGAGAACAAACTGTGGATAAACTGGTGGAAGTTTATGGGGAAGAAGACGCTGTGGTGACGACAGTGGACATTTTCTTTAGGATGAATCTTAATGACCTTGCAATTAAGTTAATCCAAGGTAATGGTTAAATAAAAGGAAAATCAAGTACGTTAAATGCACAACATTCATGAATAAGAGAAAACATAATAATGTCACATGTGAAAATTAAAAAAGTGTTAAATATAAGTCCTGGTGAATAATCATTCCTGTTAATGCTGCATACACATTAAAATGAGGTGTTAAGCAAGCTAAAATATAAAATAGGACAAAATACAAAGAAAACTCAAGCACATGAAATGTCCACATCCTCATCATGATATGGCGGAATCCAATCCAAGTTGGCTTGAGGAAAGGACCCCTTTAGTTCCCGAGATACAAAAAGGGTCACTGCAAAAGTAGTTTTATTTACTGATATTGTGATGATGTAATGTGGTGATATCGCCAGGCCGAATTGGAGATGATACATTTGAACCATATAATTTCATCCAGTGTGGAAGTGGGCAGGGGTTTCCTCTACATGTATGAAAAAAACCAGAATGTGAATATCTTGATGCACTGAGGAAATACAGCACTACAAACACAGTACACACAAGTACAATGGTGGAAATATCAAATATTAGTATCTATGATGAATGTATTCATTTACTTTACACTAGCTTTGGCTGGGATAGTCCCAGACACACCAACCAGGGTTTGCTAGAAAGGTGTGACTGTGCTGAATCCAGTAATATATGATATGAAACTGTAGCAGGTGTGGTTAGTGGTCTACATTAAGAAATGTATGATGTGTGCTATCAAATGGCCATAAATGGGCTGTGTGGGGTCGCTCTAGGGCCAACAAAATACAATTCAATATGTTTTTATAAACTTTAACTTAAAGAGCAAATAAATGTGTATTGGCAAATTATACATTGATTTTATTAACAGAATAATTTGGCATCAATTTAAAACAAAAAACAGTTTTTCATGTTAAAGATATCAGGATTTCATGTAATTACATCACAACAAAGACAAACACTTTTAAAGAATTTTAAATCATCAAACTTTTTCAAATACATGAAGGTCTGTAAATACCCAAAACCTGACAAACATACAAAGATAAACTGATATTCCTCATTTTAAATCTTTACTTCAGTTCAAAGAGTTTGCTACAAAGATTGATATTGCCATCGCTACACCACTTAACCACTTAAGCATTTTGAGATTAGAAAAAACAAGAAAACAATATTTTTAAATCATTTTACATTTGCAAAAAATACAAAAAGCAGCAAAAAAAACAGCATCTTGTTTTACCAGTGCAATGGTTTGTCATCTTCGTCAGACAGTAACATGGACTGGATGGCCATATACCAAGTGTGGCATTCTGAGGCGGAGAGCGCTAGAGATGCAGTGTTGGGGTCTAGAACCACAGGGGCTACAAATTAGGAAAAAAAAAACAATGTACAAAACAAAAGTACTTCACTGGTGAGTTTCCTGACTAACTGACTATAACTTCTTAATGTGCCCCAAAACTTACTCTGTGTCATGATACTCAGAATTATATCCCAGACTCTGAGGTTTCCCACATGCTTGGATTCATTTATCAGTACTTGTGGAAGTTGCTCTGGATCTGGCAGTGTGTTCTGAGCTCTACAGCAAATTCAAGAGATTCAGGGATAGAAAAGAAATTACCCTCATATGTAACGTGGCTGACAACGGCAAACACGCTACAACAGCCTAAAACATACCCATTAAACAATTACAGAAATGGAAATGTGAAAAGAATATGCTATAAGCCAAAAGACACCTTTAATAACCTTACAGTCGAGCTCAAACACACAAGAAAAGAAGATGAATAATACACACCTTTCCATTTGCATCTTGAAGGCCTGAAAATAAAACAAGAAATGCATCAGCAGCCTTCAGATTACATGTATGAATTAGACTTTTCTTGAGTTTGAATAATTACCTGTATGAACGAGTTGTCAGCTCTTAAGTCTTCCATCTCTTTCACAGTGTCAGAGAGCGACAGTGTGCTTCTGCTCATCTCTGTGATCAGCTTCATCATACGAATCTTCTGATTCTCTTCTTCTCTTAATGCAGCTAGTTTGGTTTCTTCCTCTGTCCTGATGAAGGTGTGCAGCTTCTCAAAGTCATCCTTAATCTTCTTCTCTATATCACGGCTCTGAGCCTGTGGATGATAAGACCTGGTCATCCTCTTCCTGTCTAATTTTATTCAATATTTCAATTCAGTTTAAGAGGGACAGAAACAGGGAGACAGAGAGACTGAGATGCACAGCGATAACAAAGATTTGACTGATCAAATTCAAAATATTTGTACGGACGAACCTCAATGTGCTCAATGGATGAATCACAAAATTGTTTGATTTTTTCAAAAGCATCCTTCTTCTCATTGACGTTCCTCGAAGGGGTCTGTTCTCCGGCCTGTGCCAAATACAATCCCCCAAACAGTGGCTTTAAATATATCAGATTTGAAACTTTAATATGGCAGAAAACACCTAATAACTAATACTAATTTGCTAATAAAGATATAGTTGAGTGATGTGGTTATCTCAACCTTTCTGTGCTTTGTTTAAAGATAATCTGATCCATGTGCAGCAGTGCAAAATGTAATTTTAACCAAATCAGTGTTGTTGATTATTGTAACAGCAGAAAGACAAATAGACTGTTTTTGTGAGTTTCATTTTGTTTCTGTCCACTTAGAATGAAGTTAAAATGAAATGTGAGGTAAAATTATTGTTTTTGTCCATAGAGTCTGGTGGTAAGTAATAGTGATATTAAGGCTGTTTGTGGTTAGACAAAAAGTCTCTCTCTGTAGAGATCCTTTCCATAATGTTGTCAGAAACTTGGAATTACAATCTGAGGCTGTTAGTGGCAAAAAATAACTTCCAATGGTTAACTTTAACCTCGGTGAATTAAGAGTTTATGTCAACCAAACTAGCGTTGGAAGGACTAATAAAGTTGGTTTTGGTGAGTATAATTTTGTTTCTGTCCCATTGCTTTGGTCTGAGATGCTGGTGCTCTAGCACAACAACTGTTGGCAAATAATTTTGCATACATAACCTTAAAGCTTAAATCTAATACACTACATGTAATGTAACACAGAAAATTAAATAACTAAAGCACCCTCACCTGAGAGAACTCATTTCTGTAACCTCCTGATGGTTCACCCCAACCTCTCTCGCTGTAGTTTTTACACAAACTCTTCAGATTAAAATTAATCGGAGATTCAGAGTCAGTAACTTGTTGACAAAGTGGACATTTCCGAGAGATTGTCTTCTCCCAGTGTTTGTGCACGCAGCTCCTGCAGAAGTTGTGCCCACACTGCAGCGTCACAGGATCAGTGAAAATGGAGTCGCAAACTGAACAAGAAAGATCCTCAGTGATAGTCCACTCTCCTTCTCTCTCTGTCTCTCCCGCAGTGGAAGACACCAGCTCATCTAATTGCTGTTTCGTGTCTCTGCGTATATGGGCTGCAAATCAAATAAAGAAATACTGCAGCTATAATTCAGTTCCAGGTATAATATGTGTTATAAACATCACATTGAAGCATTCATTCTCTCTCTGCTTCCACATGAAGCTCAGCAACAGGTACATATAGTGACTCAGTGAAGTAGCTTGTCACAACAACACAATAAAATGGAAGTATTCATGTATTAATCATTTGTGTTTTTTAATATTTATTGTCCACAGAAAATATGTAAAATGGGGACATATAAAGCAGGCCAACCTCATAGGTCACCAAGTAGGTAGTAACTGCCGTACTAAGATATTTTACCTTGAGTTAATCTCTTTGCAAGGTTATTAAGCTTCATCTTCGAGAAAATGTCCACTGTCGTCACCACAGCTTCTTCTTCCTCATAAACCTGCACCAGTTTATCCACAGTTTGTTCTCTGGTAGCTTTCTCCAGCTCGGCCTTTGGGAAAAGTCTGCATCCATCTCTTCTAATAAGACCCAAGTGCCACTGAAACGTGCTCAGCTGTTTCTCATCCAGCTCATCCAGGTAATCTACCAGGAACTGTTCGATATGCTCAGGTGTAGCCATGTTTGACTTTTAGTTTACAGGATGTCAAACTATGAGTTGAGGAACTTCTCTACAGTTGTGAAGTGAAACTACTGTGAAAATCAACAAGAAGAAAAAACAAGAAGTTAGAATTAATTTATACAACAAAGTAGTATACATTTACACTTAAAAGGCCTCAAAATAGTTGATTTTATGTTGCTAACACACCTATTCTAAACCAAATATTGTTTTTTGGGTGGAAAAACAATTTGAAAATAATATTTAGTTAATCGCCACTTTCTTTCAAATGTAAGCTTCAAATGTATTTACTGTCCTATGAAAAGTGTCCTGATCGGTTTTGCCTGTAAAATAAGAGTATTTACATATTTATCTAACTAAAGACAGAAACATAAAGAATACAAACCTTCAATAAAAGGTCAGTACTTCACTGAGCATTTACTGGTCATGTTTATTTCCATTTCAGTGTTCACACAGCTCTGTCTGCATCTGTTATAAAAACTAAAATTACTCCTGATAACAACACAGTGCATGTAAAGCACCAGTGCAGTGAACAACTCTATCTGTCTACATGCTGCAGTTCTGCCTGTTGACCAGATGGTGGAAGCAAAGTCCAACGTGTCAGTTATAACTGGCTCTGTGTACATACTGCCTTTGACTGATAAGAGATTTTAAGGCAGATATTCATTCCAATGTTACCAAATGCTTTTTTTCTTGGAAACCCTCCAAAAATGAAAAATAAGAAAGTAAACACGGGTCTCTACAGTGCTTCTAGTGAATTAGATTATACAGCACATTCTGTATGTAACATTAAAGGAAAGGCTCACAGTTTTTCAGATCTGTCTTAAGTCAATGTTGAAACAGGTTTTGCTTCATTCCTCCTGTTCATACTGAAACTGTTCATAGCGCACTAAAAAAGAATAATTATGGCAACCAAAATGTGTGTCAGTGTTCATACAGGCACCTCACTATGGTTGTAAAAATGTGAACCTATCCTTTAATCCACTGGTTAAATAAAAAGATTAATGTAAAAACATATACCGTCAAAATACTACAACATTTTATATGAAAATATTTAAACTATAGGATCACTAAAATGTAATTTTAAACAAGTTTTGCATTTCCTTTAATATTTTGCTCCAATATTAGCCTGTTGGGTTGTCATGTTCATGCACGTATATACAGGATTAGTTACGAGCTAAAATGTGATGCCAAGATAGTGAGTGGAGGTCAAATAATGGTTCGAAAACGCTGCAATCGTGACCCCAAATGGAAACTATTAGGATATAATAGAGTATCCCTTTTCCACCAAATTAGCTCTGGTTCTGAACAGGTTGTGTTCAGGATTCAAAAACAGTCAACAATAAATAATCTTCTTATTGTGAATAAACCTGGATCCTGTGTGAACTGTCTGTAGAATAGTGTCGGCCTATGTTACTGTATTGTGACGTCAGCCGTAATGGTGGTACTTGAAGAGGTGTAAAGTAAAGAAACACTGCTTTAATCAAAGTGCTTCAAAACTGTGTATGAAGTTAGTGACACTCATTCTGCCATTGTGACTAAAATCTGTAAAGTCCATATAACAGATTTTAAAAGAAAAATGGAGGATCTAACCTGTTAAAATGTATTAATAGTTAAAAATGTGAACACATTTCTACATTCATTTCAACTACACAGACAAAAAGTTACATGAGCATGTGTCAGTATCTCCTTGAAGTATCACATATTGTATTTAAACACTTAACTTCCTTTTAAGTGTTGCTTCCTGTAATCTAAAGCACAGATAATTGAACAGATTGTAGAAACCACTGACTCACCTGTACAAGTTGTTTCCAAACACGGATATATATGTTTTTATAGATACTTATATATGTTGTCTCCAGATTAAAACACTGGTCTTTACCCACTAGGAAGAAAACTAACACTGACACTATTGTCTGTTAACTTCTGCCAGTAAACTCTAGTTTGTCCGGTGAGCTGCAACTGAATACAAATCTAAACAAAACACCGTACAAGAAAGGTTCAAATCCCACGTAAAGCAACAGAGTGAGACATGATAACAGAATTAGCTATATACCCTAAAAAGTCTATCAAGCTTATTTAAACTCAGCACAATTTTCTGCTCACCTTTGCTCTTTGAAAACCAATATATTCACACATAGTAGCTAAAATGAGTTGCTCTTCTTTTCTTCTCATTCCCTGAACAGGTGCTTTTAATAATAAAGTTGTTTGACTTGTTTGCCAGACTGAGACTGCCCTAAAAGAAACAGGTGCTTTTGTTCAGCGCTGCAACTCGACTGACCTCTAGTGGAGAGAGCTGAGCACTGCATTACATTACCTCAACACTTGTGCCAGTCAATTGCTAATTATGATAACAGCAATACTGAAGTAAAGAAGAGGGAAAAAGAGGAATTCATATACTGCAAGGGTGTATAAAGGAGAATGGTAGCCTGCTGTTTATGATGATCCAGCTGGGTTACCAATAGATGCCAATGATATTGTGTATATTTATTACCTTCAGCCATGTAGAATTTATCATTTTCTTGTGGACAAACACAGTTTACATTCAGTGTCACTAGCCAGAGGGCAGTATATGTATCCTTCATCCATGTGTTTGTCTGTTTGTTTGTTTTTTTTACATTGTTTACATCCATGTTTACCTGTAAGCAGTCTTCTTTAACACTGCTTTTACTTAATTAAATATAAATGGTAAAAGTTACATTAAAGTTAAAAATTACAAAAAATACAACAAAAGAAAGAATAATAATATATTTACACTGCATATAAATATATACACACATAAACAAATGCAGTAAGTAACATCAAAAGTTACTTAAGTCAATACTCACATGTCCGTGAATCATCTGGTTAATTTTAAATAATATATGGTTATGGCCAAACATGTAATCAGATTACAGTTACATTTGGTAAAAATGGGGATTATCAACAGGATTACAATTTTAAAATACATGTAAAAAATAAAGAATGACCATGCACATGCTCAGTGCACACAAATTATACACTTCATGAACACTGTAGCTGATCCAGTTCATTATCATGGCCTTTATCACCAGTATTTTGTCTCTAAAGCAGAAAGTAAAACATCATCACAGCACAGTATACGTTCCGCCTTCCAGCTGTGAAGATGGTCTATACTCTACTGCCTCAAATTGCTTAATTAGAAGCAAGTTTTTCTTTTAAAATATATATAGCATGACAGGGGGAGATGTTAGATGTCCAATAGTAGTTAAGTATATTTGTCTAAATTCCCCTGAGTAAAAAATAAAAGCATTAAGAGGAGACTGCAAACTTTGAATGACTAAACTCTACAATCATCAAGAACAAGAGCTGAGTACGTCTCCTCTGATTTTTGCTGTGATGTTCAAAAACGCACCATTATTTATTTATCTTTGCCGAGCTGAGCTGGCGTTTCTTCAGCAACACCCGGTTTTTCACCCTAACAGCTATGCACACTGACACCCGGGTGATGACACCGCTGTGACCATCAACGACTACTGACTTCCTGAGCGGTTGGGGGGGGGGTGTCAGCAGCTTTACTGCTCCGGGGCGTCACGACGACGGTATCTGTTGAAAGAGGAAAGAGTGTTATTCATTCACTTCCCCCCCCAGTCAGATTATTTCTCCAAAGCAGTGGAGAACAGGAGTGTCATGACTCAGCTCTTGGCCACGTCCACTCTCTCGGTTGTGATGATGTAACAGATGGCATATTCACCCTCATTAGTCACAACAAAAGGAAAAGTCATGCCTAAACGTATCGCAGCTACTGAAGCTCTGTTTGCACAATTAGGCTATTCTGGATACAAACACAGCTTCGGCGAAGACATGGGAGTCTGCTACAAACAGAACTGGGATATTTTGGCTCTGCAGCTCATACCACAGGACTGTTTTAGGTCCAAACAAGCATGTAAAGCCTGCATGGGTGTATGGCTGCAATGCCTCAGCTGGCCCAGAAAGACAAGAGTCATGAAGCTTGGATAGATCATCACTCAGTTTCCACTGTTTGACCGTAATAATCTGGTCATCAGCTTTCCCAATTAACGTTTTAACACCGTCGTCATCTTGCCAAAAAGTGCTTTTTTTCACAGCAGGGTGGCATTGGAACACCAAGTGATGTCAACATAGATAGCTTCATGTGTCTTTTCCGGCTGCAAAATCAAGGAGGGAAGTGTTCATAAAGGGCTGGACTTCTTCCTCAGGTCACGGCCGGAGTCTAAAACACACACATTAACTGCACAGTGCAGAAGGTTGCTCACGAGGAAGATAAGCAATAAGTCTGACTGTATTAATACTACAATAATAATACTACAATATGGAAAATGGCATGCAGACTTTATTTCTTTCTTTTTCTTTCTTTCTTTCTCCTCACTGAATGCCAATTTCAGCTGAAACCATCCCACTTTCTCTTCTCCTGGCCTCCCGTGCTCTCACTCCTCTTCCCTCCTCTGCTCCTCTGTCTCTCATCAAGCGGGCAAGGCGTAGTGTGTGGTTGGTGTGAGATAACAAAGGCTGAGGAGTTCACCATTATATAACTTCTGTGGAGGCTGAGGAGGTGGAGGAAGAGGAGGAGAGGCAGCAGGGTTAGCACGTAGGAAAAGGAGGGCAGGAGAGGGCTAGTAGCCTACGTTGCAGTGCTCATTTGTCTTCCACATAACACACACACACATGCTGGCCTCCTTTTTCCTGCTCTCCATCATGGATTCAGCTGCACTTGCAGATATGGCCTCATAATATTTGAACTTTCTCTTGGTGTTTCAGGCTTTGTGTTCCCACGCTGACAACCACACATAAAGATTTTCAAGCGATATCACTATTTTGCTGTCTTTTCTCTCGGCCACAACGAGCCAGACCGCCGAGCAGGCAGCCACACACACATACACACAGGGCCTCTAACTCTCAAGCTCTACGGTTCCCTCCAGCCCCACCCGCCTGTCCTCCGATGGCCTCCCACTCATGCCACATTAAACATTTAGTGAGGCACTCTGGATCTGTGTGACACCATCTTTTAGCACCGCCAAGCTAACAGCCCTCACACTGTGGAAAAAAACATAGGTGCATACTCGTCGGTGGAAACGTGATACAGCAGTCACACTATTCCCTCTACCCATCCCTGTCTCACTTATGCACACACACGCCTGTGCGCTCTCCAACGCAAAGGCAAAAAAAAAAATCAGTGGTACAGAAAAAGAGGGCCTAGTGTGTCGAGAGCAAGACCTGCATTAATCAATATTGATTCCTGGAGTGTGTGTGTGTGTGTGTGTGTGTGTGTGTGTGTGTGTGTGTGTGTGTGTGTGTGTCCGTATGTGCATATGCAATTGTGTACGGGTGTGTCACAGTTTGCCTCTCTGCTGCAGTGAGGTGTGACCCAGGGTTGGGTGCATCCCAACCGGTGCAGTAAAATACTGCTGTGATGCTCCCCTGCAATATTTTTTGAAGATATGAGAGGAGACAGGAACTGGATCTTCTTCTCTCTTTTTTTTTTTTTTCAATATATCATATGCATCGCTGCAGGATTGTGTACAGTGGTGTAGTGCAGGTATACGGAGTGGTTTTCAGTCAGCAATGGGTATACACACTTCTCAATCCCCCCCTCTCTTATGTATGGGAGTGTTCTGTGAGCTGGGTTTTTTTTTTTTCTCCCCTAGGATGAGGAAGGCATGATATGGTTGTTCAATTTTTATGAGCGGACGGCGTAAGGAATCGGGAATACTATGCATGAATAATATGCATAGTTAAGGTAGTTTTCTCACTCGTCTGTGGAGCCAGGATTGATTGCAAAATGCCAATTTCATAATATTGGCTGGAGTCAAGCAGCAGGAGTTTTTTTGGGGGGGTGACCTAAATATAAAAGTATCTCCACTTCTCATGTACCTTTCAACAATATGTCACCCAATTCTAATCCACTGCCCACCCCCCTTTTTTTTAAAAAAAAAAACAGGATTTATTGAGTCTAAACAAGGTAAAGAATTCAGCACCATCTCACCCCACACAGTCAGTCCCTGAACTACAGGGCCACGGTCTCCTGCTGCACGAGCCAATTCTCGCGAGGATTCCTCCCCTTTACTACACACACACACACACACACACCATCATCATCATCACTCCTCCTCCTCCTCCTCCTCTCCGCCAACCCCTCCCTTTCCGTCTCTGCTCGCCTCTATCCTCTTCAGCTTTGCCTGCCTGTCAGAAAGGTACTCCAGTATTGGAGGCTAGGCTACCCTCCTCCCGGATCCCCGTACGAGAGCCAGCCACCCGTCGTACCCCAAGGCTCGGGCTCCCCTTCACGGCTCCAGCCATGGCAACCACCGCTACTTCCACCAGGTTCACCGACGAGTACCAGCTGTACGAGGAGCTCGGGAAGTAAGCAGCAGCCCCTTAAAAAAAAAAAAAAAAAAAAAAAAACCAGTTAACAGTGTGCATCGTGTTTTAGTCGTTTTTTTTTTTTTTTTTTGTCCCCCTCTCTCTCCACCCACCCCCGCAACCTCGCCTTCACATTATATATCTGCTTAGCCCCGAGCTAGCAGGCGACAGCTAGCCAGAATAGCCCCGCAACACTAATCACGCCGAGCGCTGTGATAGTGTGTCTGTGTCTGTAGATGCGTTAGCCGGAGTCTGTTGTTGTCTGTGCTGCAGGTCGGGGCTAAAATAACCGTTGCTACCGTTGCTAACTAGCAGCTCCCCGCAGTAACGGGCGCACCAACGGTTCCGTTACTAGCCAAACGAGCTACCATGCTGATAGTGATAAACGTAGCCGAGTTA